TATTTGTATACCAACACTTTGACTGACGAGTTGCTTAAAGTAAACGTTCTGAGAGCAGCCTGGGCTCACAGTGCTCGTGGAGCAAATTGCATTTCATCAATGGTTGCCGTGACTATGTGTTATGACCGTTTTTGTGAGGCAGAAATATTGCTGTGACACATACACGTATGACACTATGCATGGCCAAAACATTCAACAGGCTGCTGACAGACCAAAGCGTCTGGTAGAGGAAATACCCATAAGCATGGCAGTAATCGCAGGTGATGTACATGTACATGTGCACTTGGTTGAATATCATGGAGAGGACAAAACCACGTTTTTGTTTCAGTAGTCTTGAGATGAACTGTTTCAACATTCTACCGATTTTGAGAGCAAAATGTACATGACTAAGATACTATTAAAAGCAAAGTCAACATGTACAAACAACTGTAGCTGGACTACATAATCCTGTATATGTTTTCTGGACAGATTTTGATTTGGACCAGTTACATTCCATCACTAATTGGTTTTCATAAACAGATGACAAAATGGACAATTTCAATCATTTAAAATGAAAGAAATCTTTGCTAAGTCATTGATGCGAGGAAATTTAAGAACTATGACAACTCAGTGACGAAAAGGAAAACATCACAGGACTGTGGGAGTTCTCAACAGCTTCAAACGTTGCTAGTGAGAACAACTCGGACGGACCAAGTTGCATTCTGTATGTGTGTGTTCTAGTACCAATCTGCTTGTTCTGCCTCATCTGCAACTTGTTTTCTCTGCTGGTGTTACATCGCATACATGACATGCATAACGTCACTAAGCTGCTGCTTGTAGCTCTAACGATTACCGATGCTGGAGTTGGATTCTTTGCACTTTCTATTCAAGTCTCAAACTGCATCTCGACGTACTAGCCGTATCCTCGCCGGTACAGCTGATTTTTGTCAGCTGTTGGGATGGTGCATTCTGTTAATGATTACTGTGGTCCGATACATTGCAGTGTCGCAACCTCTGAAGCTACAAACTCTAGTTACCAAAAGACGAGCTTACGTTGGCTTTACATGTGCAGTGGTATTCTGCTTTGCTAGTTATATTTTTGAATTAACATCATTCTACCTGTATTTAAACCATTGCTATGACGTCACACTATTGTTAAAAGTGTGGATTCGGAACTACGAATCTGTTACGCTGGTCACAAAGTGTGGATTCGGAACGAAGAATCTTTAGTAAAAGTGTGGATTCGGAATTACGAATCCACACTTTGAACACGTCAGACAAAATGTTCCAATTTTTAATAATAAGGCACTTCCGGTTTTGACCTGAAGGAAGGGTCACGTGATTTTGCACGTACATGTACATGTAATATCAAGAATGACAACGCTGGATTATTCTATCAATTCCCATAAAAAAAGCAAAATCTGATCTCTCACAATTAATTTTATATTGATTTTCAAAGATTCAATCTAGAAATCTTTGGTGCTTGTAATCTGATACTTGATGACGTCAAGGTTTGGACCGGAAGAGTCACATGATTTTACGCACACAAGATTAAATGAAGACCCAGGGTTAGAATCAATTCCCACAACAATCAAGTTCAGGTCTCTCACGGTTGAGTTTGTACTGATTTTCAAAACATTAAATCCAGAAATCTTTAGCGTGACATCACGTGACCAATGCCACCACGACGTCATTCTTCAGGGCACAAACTCACTATGGGGTCTTTACACAGGTTAGGTTTCATGAGAACACCAGTTTGTTTTAGGTCCAAAATGCCGCGTTGAATAAACGTGTACAAAGTCTATGGGATTTGGGGTAGGAACAAGAGAAAAAAAAATAATATCAATAAAACTTAATGCAGCAGTTTTGCGCAGAAGTATTTGCTTTATATTTTCAAGGTTGCTCCAACCAAGCCTTGAAAAATTTCCAGTAAATACTTTAAATCTGCAGCATTTACTCATTTTTATTCATACGAAATTAAGTACACACTTCTAGTCTAGCAAGAGCTTACAAATAAAAAGTAAATACTTGTAGCTTTTCAAAATGAAGCAAATGCTGGAAAGCATTTGCTTCATTTCTATTCATACAAATGCAAGTAAATGCTTAAAAATAGGTAGTAAAAGCAAATGCTATTTTTTATACATACAGGTACACGTGTACATCTATGACCCAATATTGATCCCCTCCACTCCAACTCCTCAATTCCTCACTTGACAGCATGTCAGCAAGAGACACCCCACACATCCACCTGATCATTCTCATCTCCGCTTGTTCCAACTGCTAGACGTGCTCCACCCTAGTGGGCCATGTCTCGCTACATCATGCAGCTCTGGACACAGGCAGGGTATACTTGACCCTTTATCTTCAGGGACGGTGCCTTAGATGTTAAAAATGGGGCCAGCTCCCTGAACTTCTTCCCCCACTCCACACACATGATGTCACTGACGGATCGTTTCCAGTGGATTGACGGATCTGATGCATCTAGAATGTCGGTCCGAGTATGCCGGTGTCGTGCCAAAAACCGTCCGGTGCCGGGAATCGGACAATATTTGGCAGGGCGGGGAATCGGACAGTATTTGTTGGCAGGAAAAATCGGACAATATTTGAAAGGGGGAATCGGACAGTATTTAGCAGGAAAAATCGGACATTTTTTTCGCAGGAAAATCGGACACTATTTGGCAGGGGGAATCGGACACTGTTTAGCAGGAAAAATCGGACAGTATTTGGCAGGAAAAATTGGACAGTTTGGCAGGAAAAATCGGACAATATTTGGCAGGAAAAATCGGACAGTATTAGGTGGGAGAAACCGTAAAATATAACGTTGGTTATAATGCTACACACAGCACAGTACGTACTACACACACTTCACACGGCGTTAGGCCTACGTACGTACTGCATGCCAACAGGTGAACTGACGCGAAAAAAACACACAAACATTTTGCACAAATAAACTATTAGGGAAACCAAGTCAAATAGTTATCACAGATAACAAGGAAAACGTTAAAATAGATTGTCAAAAGCAAATTCAGGTGAAAAGAGATCTTTTCTATACGATGAATTGACAGCTCGACAAGGCACGCAATAGGATGCACGCTAAGCGCGGACACTATTTGGCAAGCGTCCGTAAACAATGTGACGTCATAGACGCATGACCAATCAGATCGCATTATGCTAATTAGCGGACACTATTCGGCACCGGACGGTTTTTGGCACGACACCTGTATGTGGAATGACGTATGGTGCACTATAAACAATCCTTTTGTTTGCAAACTCTAGATCTAATGAGTTGCCTTTTGCTTTGTTACCACAACTGAAAGATAAAGTGATTGGAGAACATGTGTAACATACTGGACACAGAATGCGAACGTAGATCGCATATTGGCGTCCATCCATAGCAAAGAGGAAGATGAAATCATCAAAGATTACGCAATGAGCGCTTCTGGTCTTGCGCTTGCGGCTAGTCACGGGTTCTGGATTGGCTAACAGTGACATCAAACGGGAGTTTTATTTCCAGTGGAGTGATGCATCTGATGTGTCTTACAAGGGTTGGTAGCCAGGAGATCCCCCCAAATAAACGAAGTAAACGAAGATTGTATGGAATGCCAATCATCAGCTTTTGACAGCAAATGGAATGACAAGTCGTGCATGTTTAACCGACCTTTTGTCTGCATACTCTAGATTCCATTCATGCGATATGTCAGTTAAACGCTACTCAACTTTACAAGGGTTGTTATAGGAGCAATTCGGTTCATTGTTCAGTTTTTTTGTGTTATTTGTCGGGTGTGAGTTCTTGCAGTCGTTCGGCTGTTATTAGCATCTCAGGAGACTGCGAAGCGAACCACAGTAGGAGCTGCAGCTTATGTAGAAATCGAGCCACTTAGTACAACAAGAAGAGAACAAGAAAACTAGAGGTGATTTTCACACGTTTTCTGTGCTATTCTATTGTCCCTTCGAATATCCACTTATTATTATTTTACTCAGTCTTTTCATTCTAGACAAAGCGAGTGGATTATGATTTATCGCTTACATAAAAACACCGGTTCGATAACACTATCTAAACGTCTGTAATCGTTAATAGTTACGGAATTAACGAACACTAAAACGCCTCTTGAAATAGACAAAACAAATTGAACTCTTTATTTTGTATACATTATGCCCTTGAGGGTATAACTCGTGGGTTTTTTTTGCAATTTCTAAGAATGATGCATTTTTTATTACAAGGCACGCAGATGAAGTGGCTGATGTTGAGAACCGGGCTAATGATAATGGTAATTGCGGGTAAAATACATCCGCAATGTAATATTTATTACTCGTCAAAGGATCTGTTCGGAAAGGGTTGTATGTGGTAAGATACCATCCGCAATGTAATATTTATTGCTCTTAAAAGGGTCTGTTCGAAGAGGGTCGTATGCGGGTAAGATACCATCCGCAATGTAATATTTATTGCTCTTGAAAGGGTCTGTTCGAAGAGGGTCGTATGTGGGTAAGATAACATCCGCAATGTAATATTTATTACTCGTCAAAGGATCTGTTCGAAGAGGGTCGTATGCGGGTAAGATACCATCCGCAATGTAATATTTATTGCTCTTAAAAGGATCTGTTCGAAGAGGGTCGTATGCGGGTAAGATACCATACGCAATGTAATATTTATTGCTCTTGAAAGGATCTGTTCGGAGAGGATCGTATGGAGATTATGTTCATGCCAGAATTTCGTTGTTATATAGGCCTAGTTGACACCAAAAAGGTAAGCAGGGACAATGAATATTAAATATTAAGTGGATGGATGATAAATAATTTCACGAGCCTGTCACTCCTTTACTGTACCTTAGCCGGGAAAAGGCTATGTCGGGAGCATGACATTTCTGCCAGTATATGTAACTACGGCGTTGTCTGTGGCTGTTTGGAGTTTGAGAAAACTCCGCTTAAACACATCATCTGAAATTGAAGATTCCCTTTGCTTCAAAAACGATTCAGTAAAGAAGCTGACAATGATAAATTGAGTGTGAGGACAGTACACAGTAATGGCGTCGACCTGTTTTCTGGTACTGATGTTTGTATCCGTCAGTTTGTCGTCTGACGGCGGTGTAGCTACACTCTGTAGCTCACCTTTCTGCCTGCCACCCTGGCGTGCTTTCCAGGGGCACTGCTACCTGTGGGTGCACAAGCGAATGTCCTGGATGGATGCTGAGCGCCACTGCCAGATGCTATCCCACCCGGGGAAGATGGCCCACCTTGCGTCCATCCACAGCAAAGAGGAGGATGAATTCATCAAAGATTACGCGAGGAGCGCCTCTGACCTCGCGGCATGGATTGGCTACAGTGACATCGAACGGGAGGATCAGTTCCAGTGGAGTGATGGATCTGATGTCTCTTACAAGGGTTGGGAGCCAGGAGAGCCAAACTCCCCTGCCGGGACACACGAAAGCTGTGTCGAATGCCACCACGTCAGCGGATGGAATGACATATGTTGCATTCGTGAAAGACATTCTGTCTGCAAACTATAGATCCCATTCATGCGACATTTCAGTCAGCCTAAATGCAACTTAAATTAATGGCTACATTCTGATCATGAACAAATAACAAAACTCTGATAAAAAAGGACGAAGCTCTTGTGAATTCAATATCTGAGATTAAACTTGGAATTGCGTCTGCTCTGAGGTACGTCAGCTTGATTGTTCTATCGTGATCTCGTACAGGTAAACTGAAATGAAGGGAAATGACCTAAATCACCAATGAAGAGTAGACCATGAAGATACGTTAAAATGCATGTACATTGTACTCAGTGGCTCTTGTTGTGGTGGCTACACACCGATGCTCAAGTAGATAGTTTAAAGAACAATAAGCAAGAAATAGTTTGTTGCAGTAATGCATCTTTTTGGCACTCGCGTTGTAGTTTGGTGATTCTATTGAAAAATTGTGAACTTACAATTGAGTTATTAGTGGTATCAGATTGTTTTTAAGATATTCATTGTAAAAAAATTTTTTACAATGTATTCAATTGTGAACAAACAAACACAAAAAACAAACACAATTGGCCCACAAATGACAACTGTTTCGTTTAATATGAATAATTGAACTGCAATAGAGGAGGATGAGCACCAATTTTACATTTAAAGAATCAAGCTACAATCACCATAGTGGTCCATTAAATAGTGCATTAAAGTGATGTGATATTTTAAAAAAAAACTGAATTGTGAAGCCCGGTGCGCGATCATAGACGACTATGGTATATAATCATGATTTCACACAACTCACGGTTTTAATTTTGTTCCACGTTTAACGCTTGAAAGCGTACACTTTGTTTTTGTTTCTCGACCAAGAAAGTCATTCTATTATTTTGTTTGGTGTCTGAGTGAATAAAACGATGGTATTTAGCATGTCAAGCATATACTTGTGTAGCATTCAGTTATTATGACAAACGTAACTGACGCGTTAAATGTAACACTTCGTTTGATTCCATGCTAATGAAGCTACTTTTTTTACACTTTCGACATTCATTTGTGAGCAGTTTCTTCAACGCTATTAATAAGAATATCACGAACTGGCCGTTAAGAAAAGCATTGCAACTAATAGACGTCGTTTTGTAGCAGTATTTCTTATAATTGATGGATCATGTCTGCTCCCCCCTCAGCTCCCAGCATCTCACCAGGTAGCAGAAATGCAGAATGACTCCACCATCTCATACGTTTCACCACAGACCTCCAGACCAACTTCTCTCTCCTCCGGCCATGGGCCATCACCTCGACACCTCTTACAAGAGAACGTGGCACCGGCAGCCCGAAGACTACTCTTCACATTGCTGCAATATGGACCCACTTCTTACACATTGTACATTGGATAGAGTTGGCAGCTACACCCTTCCCGCTTACACCACATGGGCCATGCACCTGAGCTCATCACCGACCAACCGCTGACTTGACTAGCCATGGTCTTCCTGGCATTAACCTTCAGGCCCTTTGATAAAAGACATGCTCTCCACGCCTCCATCTCCACCTGTAACTGTTCTCTTGTTGCTGTTATAAGAACAAGGTCGTCAGCATACAGCAGTTCCCAGGGCAATTACCCACCCCACGTCTCACTCGACACCACGTCCAACACACTAGCTAAACGCAAGGGACTCAGTACCGAGCCCTGATGTACGCCAACCTTCATCTCAAAACTCCTACTATCTCCTGCACGTGTCCTCACCACCGTACTTGCTCCTGTGTACAACGTCATTACTGCTCTCAAAAGACATTCCTCCACAACTGGCTTCCTCATGGCCCATCACACCACCTCCCTTGGTTGCACAAATACATTTTTTTGCACCCGTGTGTATCGTTTTATGTTGGTGTAGCTGACTCTCTGAAGTGAAGGCTTTTCCACAGGTCTCACAAACAAATGGTTTCTCGCCCGTGTGTATCCTTTCATATTTTTGAAGAACTTTGCCAAGTAACGGCCTTGCAAATGAATGTATTATTTCATGTCGGTGTAAATGACTCTGTGCAGTGAACATGGTAAAGGCTTTGCCACAGGTTGAACAAACAATTGGTCTTCACCCGTGTGTATCATTTCATGTCGGCTAAGATGACTCTGTGAAGTAAACACTTTACCACAGGTTGCACAAATAAATGGTTTCTCACGATCATCCATGTGTATCCTTTCGTGTCTATGTAGATGACTCTGTGAAATAAAGGCTTTGCCACAGGTTGAACAAACACATGGTTTCTCACCCGTGTGTATGTTCTCATGTATGTTTAGATGACATTTCCGAGTAAAGGCTTTACCACATGTCTCACAAACAAATGGTTTCTCACCTGTGTGTATTATTTCATGTTGGCGTAGATAACCCTGTGTAGTGAAGGCTTTGCCACAGGTTGAACAAATGCATGGTTTCTCACGATCACCTGTGTGTACCATTTCATGTCGGCGAAGATGACTTTGTGAAGTAAATGCTTTTCCACAGGTTGCACAAACAAATGGTTTCTCACCCGTGTGTATCATCTCATGTTGGCGTAGATGACTCTGCGCAGTGTAGTCTTTTCCACATGTCTCACAAACGAATGGTTTCTCACCCGTGTGTATCATTTCATGTTGGCGTAGATGGCTCTGTGAAGTGAAGGCTTTGCCACAGGTTGCACAAACGAATGGTTTCTCACGATCACCTGTGTGAATCATTTCATGTCGGCGAAGATGACTTTGTGTAGTAAAGGCTTTCCCACAGGTTGCACAAACAAATGGTTTCTCACCCGTGTGTTTCTTTTTATGTTGGCGTAGATGACTCTGTGAAGTGTAGTCTTTTCCACAGGTCTCACAAACGAATGGTCTCTCACCCATGTGCATCATACGATGTTGGCGTAGATGATTCTGTGAAGTGAAGGCTTTGCCACAGGTTGCACAAACGAATGGTTTCTGACCTGTGTGTATCATTTCATGTCGGTGAAGATAACTCTGTGTAGTAAAGGCTTTTCCACAGGTGGCACAAACAAATGGTTTCTCACCCGTATGTATCATTTCATGTTGGTGTAGATAACTCTGTGAAGTGAAGGCTTTACCACAGGTCTCACAAACAAATGGTTTCTCACCTGTGTGTATCATTTCATGTTGGCGTAGATGACTCTGTGAAGTAAAGGCTTTGCCACAGGTTGCACAAACGAATGGTCTCTCACGATCACCTGTGTGTATCATTTCATGTCGGTGTAGATGACTCTGTGAAGTGAAGGCTTTACCACAGGTCTCACAAAAAAATGGTTTCTCATCCGTGTGTTTCATTTCATGTTGGCGTAGATGACTCTGTGAAGTGAAGGCTTTACCACAGGTCTCACAAACAAATGGTTTCTCACCCGTGTGTATCATTTCATGTCGGCATAGATGACTCTGTGAAGTGAAGGCTTTACCACAGGTCTCACAAACAAATGGTTTCTCACCCGTGTGTATTATTTCATGTTGGCGTAGATGACTCTGTGAAGTGAAGGCTTTACCACAGGTCTCACAAACAAATGGTTTCTCACCCGTATGCACATGTATCATTTCATGTTGGGCTAGATGACTCTGCATGCTCTGTGAAGTAAAGGCTTTTCCACAGGTTGCAAACATTAATGGTTTCTCACCAGTTTGCTACACACTATGAAAGCATCATCACCGGGGCTGGATGTTACACAACACTTCTGGAGTCTCTTCTTGATTCAGTGATGCCAAATCTTCAGATTCCCGAAAACAGGGGTTCACTGCCAGTGTTGTCACCTGGAGACAAACAAGAACACTGAGTTTACTACAATGTATGAGGTTTACAGTGCTGCAGTACTACACATTTGGACTCCATCTACAATGTGTTTGGTGTGCACTGTGCACTTCTGATTGTTGACTGGTTTATAATCTTTAACAGAGTGGGCCACTCACTTGCACAGCAGGCCGTGAAATTTCTTTTCACAAATGAGATCGGACAATATCAAAAGAGGGCGCTCTCTTTGCATTATGCATATTCATGATGTCCAGGGAAATTAGAGAATAAGTTATAGAACAAGGGATAATAGTGTTTAAACCAACGACGATTGCCAGCTCATTCGTGGACTGGTTGGAAGAAGTCCTGACTTCTAATCAGGTGATCTGAGTTCGAATCTCAGAGAGCGTTATTCACTTCTTCTCATTTCTCACAAGACGTAAAGCCTATCTTGGATTTGTGTTGCGGAGAACAAGGCATTTGATATGCATGTAATAGACCAATCAGAAGATGGAAAGCGGATGTCGTTTGGGAAAAGCTACTTGATTGCAAAGCCTTATCAGCTTATCTGTGCAGAAATAGGATAGCGAGACGAGCGGTAGATTGCAATATGACACCACACTAAAACATTCTTTTTTAAATCTTTGATTTCTAGTATAAATACTGCCCAAAAGTCAAAGAGAACTCGCCAAAAGGAAGAGGAAAACATGCTTGTTTAATTGATGCTATTTTATTTGGAACTTACATACAATTTGATCGGTGAAGTTTTATTTTGCAAGAGAGACTTTTTTTAATGGACGCTGATATTTTGTTCGCGTGAGAGTTTGGTTTACATGTAACTTGGCGATTTTAGTCAAATTTTAAGGTAAGAAAATGAACTTTCAGTAAAATATTGTGAAGCAAAAATATATTTTTTGGTTCAAAACTTGACCTTTTCTTCAGGAAAACCTTATTAAAATGGGGTTTAGGGAGCTTGTAAGGTTGATTTTTGGGAACTTCGGGGTTTCCAAAACCAATGAAACCTTTAAAATAAAACATTTTATGTCGCACTCATGCCGCACAGGACTTTTAGGAAAGGGGTCAAATTTGATGGTACCTGTCAAATGTGTTTTGGGTCATGCTCACTTTATAATGTGCAACGTAAAAGTATCAATTCAACCAGTACCAGGCCAAAAAATTGAAATAATGTGGAAGAAGTGAGAAGACATGAGTTCACTGTTCAGTGAAAATATTATTAATATGTTTTGTGCGTATATATGTATATGCAAGTTCTTTAATTAACCACATAACTACAGATTTGGTAGACACAAATTTATTTTGTAATACCAGGGTAGTTTACTACAACAAAAACAAGCATTTGGCAGTGCTGAATTTTTTTGTTAATAAATCTCATGTTACAATCACCCAAGTATTCTTCAGAAAGGAATGTCTTTGATAACACTGACGTTGATAACAAAGTTCTGCATGGTCTTCATTCAGTACATTTTATACATAAGGGTAGCCACACCTTTGTGCATACTTGCAAAGTGTGCACTCATCTCATATGCTTTGTTAAAATGTTTAAATGCATGAAATCATTCGTTGTACTAACAAGTAAGGTTTACAAAATGATTGTGTGTTCTTGTTTTCATTAGAACTTGAAATTTGCAACATTGAAACCATAATTTGGTCAGACAAATCTTCACTGTAAAGTGTGGCTTCTGCCTCATTGTTCATGTTCCAGGGTATCCAGACTGGGTCAACATTAAATATGATGTTGATGACAGTATTTATTCCTACCAGCTTCCTAAGGACTACTCAGAGGGAGACCTGCACATATTAATAAAATACCACATTAATGAAAAATTGACAAATGAAAAAAAAAATAACATGAATATTTATAAAATACCATGTGGTGTTACCGCAAACCGAAACGATAATATAAGTAATCGGTAAGTTGCATGTTTAGTTGAAAACCTCTCTAACATTTGGTTGGTCTTGTAAAGCCTTTAACTCCACCTATGAAACAAGTATTAGGCTAATTTAAAAAGCACTGTATTTGCCTATTTGGTAGTTCCTGCTCTGTCTGTTGGTACCAAATGTATTGTATATTTCTTTGGAAATACATAAGAAATTGCTTTCTAAACTTTTGGGAGTTAGAATGAAAACTGATGACAGAAACGACACCCTAAAAATTGTCATTAAAGTTGTCATAACTCATCACCAGAAGAAGTTACAAAGCTAATTTTAGCACCGTTGTAATCCTCAGGTTACAAGCTTGTCGATGATGCCAAACTTGTCTGTGAACATGGTGAAATCTTAAAAAAAAAATACAAAAAAAGCTGGACTCCCTAAATATTAGTAATTTTATTAGGAGGATCGAGGATCATTAAAAAATTAGTCACACGCGTACTGTACTACTTTACATATTTTACACGGTACGAGTCGTCTTAACTGAAGGTACGAGTTGACCAAGGTACGAGTTGTCAAAGGTGCAAGATGTCCAAGGTATGTGTTGTCGAAAGTACGAGTCGTCCAAGGTATGGATTGCCCAAGGGACGAGTTGACTCGAAAGCGACCAAGGCTACATATGTATGATGTGTTTTATTTCTCTGTTGTGCGCTTTCTTGCAATTCACGCAATCTTAAGAATGAGCGCGCATTCTTAAGAATGAGCACGCAATCTGAAGAATGAGCGCTCATTCTTAAGATTGCGTGGGAATATCAGGTGCGCAATTTACAAATTTTGCACAATCTTAACAAACATTGCACGGCATAATTATGTGAAATGAAATTTATAGCGGTTAAAGGGGAAATAATTCATAAGAAAATGATCTATGCTTCTGCACTCGTATAACTACAATAATTTGAATCAAATTAAACCTGTTATTTATTGCTTTTTTCTGCCCACTATGGGAAGTTTTGTAGTAACGGAGGACTGGGAACTAGTCTGGGAAGTGCTTTATTTAGGCTAGACAAGTTACAAGTCCATGTATGTATCAAATGCATGCCACAAAAAAACGATGTCCAGAAGCTGCCAAAATTGCTCTTTAGACTAGATAGAATCCAGCTCTCCGGCGTAATGGTGGGGGTGTGAACAATTAATTGGTGGCAATGTAAGTGGCAAATAGCATTAGCGCTACGGTATGTCACAGTATTCATTCTCATTCTTCACATTCTTCAATCTTACGTCTCCCCCCCCCCCCCTTTTTGTCATCTCAAAAATCAGAATTCTTTCCACCACACTATTAGTATTAAGTATTATTATGTCTTTTATTTTTTCCTGGTAAATACGTGTATACTTTCATATCAACTCTACTTTTCATCGTTAAGTCTTTTCCTAGGTAAAGTGTACTCCTAGAACTATGAGGCTCCACGTAGTGGAGCCTCATAGAGTCAGAAGCCCGCAAAATTGTTGTCAACACAAAACACTAATTAAGTACAAAAACGTCAGTTCCAAATAAGCTATTTCCCACAGAACCGCTGCACAGTTTGCCCCTTAACTCCGTACAATACCTCATGACATACTCACGTTATGTGCACCCAACAAACATCGGTGGATTCTGTCTGTTTTTAGGCCAAAATGATGAAAAATATGCCCTTTCCGCACTGAGCCAACCTAACACTTGAAGCGAGCACGCGCGCTGATATCGCAGTCATTTTCGGGTTCGATCGCTCGGAGCGCGCCGCGGGGGGTATGGTGTAGGAGCGGATTGATAGTATGCGCATGCGTACAAGTGCAAGTACGTACCCCCCGCGGCGCGCTCCGAGCGATCGAACCCGAAAATGACTGCGATATCAGCGCGCGTGCTCGCTTCAAGTGTTAGGTTGGCTCAGTGCGGAAAGGGCATATTTTTCATCATTTTGGCCTAAAAACAGACAGAATCCACCGATGTTTGTTGGGTGCACATAACGTGAGTATGTCATGAGGTATTGTACGGAGTTTAGGGGCAAACTGTGCAGCGGTTCTGTGGGAAATAGCTTATTTGGAATGGACGTTTTTGTACTTAATTAGTGTTTTGTGTTGACAACAATTTTGCGGGCTTCTGACTCTACGTGGAGCCTCATAGTTCTAGGAGTAGGTAAAGTGACCTTGCGTTGCAACAGTATAATTTAATTATGAAGAATTGGTGAACGAAGATGCAGCTAGACTTGCCAAGCGCAGCCGGTTCTCGGCATCGACAAGACCGTTATCTTGTCGCGCATTCTTAGGAATGTGCGCTCAATCTGGAAGATTTTATTTTGCGCAAATTGCGCAAGGATCCAGTTGCGCAATCATAAGAATGTGCTGTGATGCTATTGTAAGTAGCGGTGTGCTGACATTTGAAATTGTAAAACGTGCATACGAAAATAGCCACAACATTTGCAATTTCTACTTACTACTTTCGGGAGTATGATGATGTATTAATATTTTTTTACTCTGAGATCCATGTTACTAACTGGAAATACGTTTCATGAAGTTATGGCCTTCAATCTATGGGAATACGGATTTTAACGGAGTTGACGGATCACTACCGTAATTTTCTGACTTTACGGTATTGATGAATAGCGCCCTCAACTGGCAACACAACACTAAAGCTACGGTGTCTCGGAGTGGCCATTGCATGCTGTCCGCTCATGTGTCCGCTACATTTAATTGGTTTATCTACATGTACAGGTACATGTAGTTTTAAACCAGTGGTCTAGCCCCCATTAGGCTAAAAAAAAAAAAGTCTCCGGTTTCTGGTATGGAGCTTGCCCAACAAGTGGTGCGGCGACGCGGCTTTTTTTTTTTACCTGATTTTTTTGCTTCAATGTCGGCTAATGACTGCAAATGGTGCTTGACTAAACTTAGTGCAAATATATGGGAGTCAAGAGAGGCCACATAAACATGGGCGTCGCCAGGATTTTTTCTAGAGGGGGGCAAAAAAAAATTTTGGGCCAAAAAATGCTTGTATTTCTTAACAAATTCTCGATTTATCAGATTTAGAGTGGGCAGGGACATGTTGCCCCCCCCCAACTCATTAAATTTACAACACTTTGTCTTCGCGCCTCTTTTTCTTTCTTTTTTTCTTTCTTTTTTCTCTTCTTTTTTTTTTATTGCTTTTCCGGGGGGGGCAAGTGCCCCCCTTGCCCCCCCCCCCCCTCGCGACGCCCATGCACATAAAGCTTATTCTCGACCATAACCCAATCTAAAAATACGTTAAAATTGTGCAGCAGCAGCAGAATTCCAGTCAAACCAGTGGGTTTGGCGGTTTTGAGACATCATCTTTCATTGAAAAAAAAACTTTTTTATTTTGCCGACGCGCATGGCTACGGCGACGCGCGCGCATACCAGAAACCGGAGACTTTTTTTTGGGGGGGGGGCCTTATACATGTACAAACGTATGTCTCAATACAGCGATGAACACACACATTAGGCCATGAGAAAAAAAGTGTAACACCATGACTGTGAGTCTAAGAAGAAAATTCCAGTTTGACTTCTTTATGGGTGAAACCTTGACTAGAGTTCAGGATCATCAGTACCTGGGAGTTGTCATTTCTGATAATCTCATTTGGGAAGCCAACTATCGTCACAAAACAAATAAAGCCAATAAGGTCCTCGGTTGACTTCAACGAAACATGCATCAATGTAGCAGAGAAACAAATTTAGTCTAAAACATACTTGGCGTTATCTCATGCTGCTGCAGTTTAATACAGATTTAATACGCCGTCCATGTTTTTTTAAGACATAGGCCTAAACGTGCATGACTGACCCGGCAATGGCAATGAACAAAAGTTGACTTGTTTAAAATAGTTTATTCGAATAACCTTTATAACTTTTATATGCAAAATCTGATTGAATTATGTCTGCCTTGGCTTTAGCTCTACTCAGTGGATGGAGCGCTACTCAGTGGATGGAGCGCTGGAACTTCGGTACCCTCCGTGCAAGCTTGTACGGAGGGTACTTACTGCACAACTGGCCGATTGACCTTCATATCAAACAAAGAACTTCAACAAAGCCATATAGCAAAAACCACCAGCTGCAGGACCGAGCCGGACGAAAATGGAGAACTTCACGGAGGGATGGAATCGACTGTATCATCCACTGAATGGAACATGCGATGCGATAGGCATCTGAGCGTTTGACTTAATCAATTTTTACGATGTGGAACTGTTAACATTGATTGATTTTGGTTTTGGAAAGAAGTTGTGGAGTTCAACGCAAGTATTTTTATGAGCTCCCAAGATGACTGTCACATTATTGACAGTTTGTATGGTGAAGAAAGCAATGAGTACTTATACGGTTTGAAATTATGTTGTGTACACCGTTATATAAGCTTACTAGCTATAGCCATATACACCGTCATATTCGCTCACAAAAACGATTCCCATTACACTTACAAGTAATTATATTTATTTTCAGAAGTATAGCTAAACATTTAATTATAAACAAGACCGTGCGTAGCTTGAATTATTCTTTGACAAAATTAGTATAGTACTATTTTGGTTTGTGATTCATCTCCTTTCACACAATATCACAAGAGGTGAACGATGTCATTCCCTGATCAATCTAGGGACGGGAAGAAGTTTTTACTGATTACTTTGTAAAATTAAGGTATGTTTACCTTTTAGATTGTAATTGGTGTATGTTCAGGTTTTTTAATAAATATATCAATCATTTGAATGAATCTCCATACAATTTCTCGTGTGAGTGTTCAGTTAAAAAAATATGATGTCATTTTAGCATATTATTAATACAATTATTCATTTCGTTGATGGAGTAATTCAGTGTGATCTAATGACCAATGTGCCAAAAATGAAATGACAATTTACTTACAATCATTTTTGGGAGGAGGAGGGATTAAGGGAAAAGGAAAGGGGGGTTCTTGAATTTCGAAAATGCATAATAAGAAAGTGTATATCAAGAAAGTGTGGAAAAGCTGTTTGGAGGGATTGAGGGTAACTCTTCATCGTTCAGTTATTTTTTTTGTAAAGATTGTTTTGGAGGAACGCTTGAACTCCCTTCTGTAAGAAAATTTTCACTCAATAATCCATTTTCCAAAGTAAACAAAGTGAAAGCACAATGCGCGTTTACCCGTCCGACAGTAAACGCGCCGCCATTGTTCGGCCGCGCATTCGTGCACAAACACGGCGCGATGTAATGTCAAAAGTACAAATAAGTAAAGCCTCCGCGATTCATGTTCCCACGAAGTGACAAAGATTCAGCTCGTGAGCAGGGCCAGGCCAGAACACAGAAATTATACTTGGTCGAGGAAAAACTGTACCCCTAGTCCCACAAACAAGTGGTGTGAACCCTCTCATGGTGGTCAAGGTTATCTTGCCGAGTATTAAGGCTTACCACAGTTCACACAACCGAATGGTTTCTCACTAGAATGAACCCTACAGTGTTTGGTTAGATCAGCTCGCCAAGTAAAAACTTGACTGCGGGTCCCACAAGTAACCTGCAAAGGCTTTCCCACAGGTTGCACAACGAATGGTTTCTCACCCGTATGTATAACCTTTGATGTGTGCGAAGATTATTTTGACGGCGAAAGGCTTTACCACAGGTTGTACAATCAAATGGTTTCTCGCCCGTGTGTATCATTTCATGTCGGCGAAGATGATTCTGTGTAGCAAAGGACTTGCCACAGGTTGCACAAACGAATGGTTTCTCACCCGTGTGCAACCTGTAATGTGGTTGAAGATCTTTTTACGTAGTAAAGGCCTTACCACAGGTGACACAAACGAATGGTTTCTCACCAGTGTGCACCCTCAGGTGACAAATCATCTCAGGTTCTTTTGTGGTTCTTTTGTGTCCATGTTTCTCAAGTGCTTATGTTGGTGATGGCATCAAATAACACCCAGTACATGTACATGTGATTAATAAGCTCATATTACATTAAAATCATTGGCAATTTTACCGCTTGGTGATTGAAGTGATGGATTGAATTTTGGACAAAAGATTGTCGAAAACGGAGTATGCGCACAACTATTGAAGGATTTGGAGAAGAATGTCAAAGCGAGCTAGAGTAAAGACATGTAAAATATGAATACAAAGACAAGATCTCCCAGGAACGAATTTTATTCATTCTATTTTCATCTACTTTATATTTAAATTCCATAAGACAAATTTCTTACCACTAACCCAAGTTGTAGTTATTATTATAAAATTAAACATCCCTGCAGTTTTCATTTACCAAAGATATTAGAGTTTATCATCAGCCATGGAGACCTGTCTATGGATCTTTACATGACTTGGTGGAGGTAAAAACTTTACCACTGGTCTAACAAAAGAATGGTTACTTGCAAGTGTGTACCTTCTCATGTTGGATAAGATTACCTTGTCAACTAAAAACATTACTGCTGGCCACTCAAACGAATGGTTTCTCACTGGTGTGCACCCTTTTATGTTTGTGTAGACCCGTTTGCCAAGCAAAGGTCTTACCGCAGGTTGCACATACAAATGGTTTCTCACCTGTGTGCACCCTCTTATGACTGTTTAGACCAGCTTGCCAAGCAAAAGCTTTACCGCAGGTTGCACATACAAATGGTTTCTCACCAGTATGAACCCTCTCATGGCGGCCAAGAGCATTAAGATGAGTAAACGCTTTACCACAGGTTACACACACGAATGGTTTATCATTAGTGTGTATCCTTTTATGTTTGTGTAGATCACTTTGCCGGGTAAAGTCTTTACCACAGGTCTCGCAAACGAATGGTTTCTCGCCTGTGTGTATCCTTTCATGTTTTTGAAGAGAACTTTGCCAAGTAAAGGCTTTACCACAGGTCTCACAAACGAATGGTTTCTCACCTGTGTGTAACCTTTGATGTGCGCTAAGATCATATCGCCAGACAAAGGCTTTACCACAGGTTGCACAAACAAATGGTTTCTCACCCGTGTGTAGCATTTCATGTTCGCGCAGATGACTCTGTGAATTAAAGGCTTTTCCACAAGTCTCACAAACAAATGGTTTCTCACCCGTGTGAATCCTGTCATGTCGTTGAAGACCACCTCTTGTCGTAAAGGCTTTACCACAGGTCTCACAAACGAAGGATTGCTCACCCCTGTGTATCCTTTGATGTGTGCGCAGATTACTCTGCCAAGCAAAGGCTTTACCACATAATTCACAAACAAATGGTTTCTCACCGGTGTGAATCCTATTGTGTCGTTGAAGATCTCTTTTTGTAGTAGAGGCTTTACCACAGGTTGCACAAATGAATGCTTTCTCACCCATGTTACATATTTTAGGTAACAAATCAATTCGGGTCCTTTTGTGTCAACTTTCCTGAAGTGCTGATGTTGACATCTGACTTCGTATAACATCAAATTCTGCAACCATTTGTCTTAACAGAATGCTGCATGCTATGAAAGGATAATCACCAGGGCTGGATGGTACACAACACTCCTGTAATCTCTCCTTGCTCCAGTGATGCCAAATCTTCAGATTATAGAGAAACACCTGTCTGACAGGTGTTTGCCGTTAGTGTCGTCATCTGGAGACTGTGTTGAAAACACAAACAAACACACTGAGTTAACTACAAGTTTTACAGTGCTGCATTACTACATATTTGGGCCCATTTTACAATGTGTTTGATGCACTGTGAACTTCTGGTTGCTGACTGGTTTAATCAAAGTGGGCCACTCCTTGGCACAGCAGGCAGCAGATTGTGAAGCAACCTTCCGTACAAGGCAAGTGAGGCAAAGTCTCACAAGAAATCAAGATTTAAAATAGTTCAGTCGGAAAAGGGGGGGTATCGTGCACTCTCGGAAATCAATTAATAATCAACGTTTCTAGGTCAGAAAACATGCGTAGAAAACGATTTGCTATGTTAAAAATTCAAAAAATGTCCCACGTATTGTTTTTATGCAAATTAGTGCCGCCATTACCGAAAAATCTATTTTAAACTATATCTCAGCCAATATTGCAGATAACTGAACGAACTAGGTGTCTAAACCCATGTTTTCAAGGTCAGAGATCACAATAAAACTATTCTGGAAGTGACCACATGTGTCTGTGGCATTGGAATATGCAAATTAGTACCGCTAATACCGGAAAATCATGTTTTTGGCATATCTCGGCCAAGATAGCACATAACTACACCAGTAAGGTGTCTAAACCCATGTTGTGAGGATCAAGTATCATTAGAAGACCATTCACGAAGGAACTATGTGTGTCTTTTGCATGAAAATATGTAAATTATAAAGTGTCGGTTTATCAGATATTTGAGTTTTAGCCGATATCTCAGCCAATATTGCACATAACTACACAAGTAAGTTCTCTAAACCCATGTTTTGAGGGTCAGGTACCATTAGAAGACCATTCACGAAGTAACTATGTGTGTCTTTGGCATGAAAATATGTAAATTCTAAATTGCCGGTTTATCAAAAATTTGAATTTCAGCCAATATTATATTCAATTTCAGCCAATATTACAGTTTATTTTGAATATGATGGCTTTAAATCAACTTTGATCATTACTGCTTATCAAAAACCCTTCTGTCAACATTAGCTGCAATATTGGCTGAGATATTGGCTAAAAATCAAATTTCTGATAAATCGGCACTTTAGAATTTACATATTTACCTGCCAAGGACACACATAGTTACTTCGTGAATGGTCTTCTAATGATACCTGACCCTCAAAACATGGGTTTAGACACCTTACTTGTGTAGTTATGTGCAATATTGGCCGAGATATTGGCTAAAAATCAAATATCTGATAAACCGACACTTTATAATTTACATATTTTCATGCCAAAGACACACATAGTTCCTTCGTGAATGGTCTTCTTATGATACTTGACCCTCAAAACATGGGTTTAGACACCTTACTGGTGTAGTTATGTGCTATATTAGCCGAGATATGCCAAAAACATGATTTTCCGGTATTAGCGGCACTAATTTGCATATTCCTATGCCACAGACACATGTGGTCACTTCCAGAATAGTTTTATTGTGATCTCTGACCTTGAAAACATGGGTTTAGATACCTGGTTCGTTCAGTTATCTGCAATATTGGCTGAGATATAGTTTAAAATAGATTTTTCGGTAATGGCGGCACTAATTTGCATAAAAACAATACGTGGGACAATTTTTGAATTTTTTAACATAGCAAATCGTTTTCTACGCATTTTTTCTGACCTAGAGACGTTTATTAGAAATTGATTTCCGAGGGTGCACGATACCCCCCTTTTCCGACTGAACTTAAAGCAAAACTATTTACAATCTGTTTTTCATCTACATAGTTATCAGGCCCAGAGAATGTAATTGGTCAGAGTTGGATGAGGGCTTGAAAATCTTGATTCTGATTTGGCCAATATTTGCTGAAGCCAACTATAGCTACAACCATACCTAGATTGATTGATGAGTTGTACAAGTATTAGAGTCCTACTGTACAATTACAATTCCGTGATTAATTCTGATTGGTTTAATACAAGTCATTGATTGGTTGAAAACATTTAGATATGCAGAATTATGTCAAAACTGTGGTAGATTTGCAGTAACTTGGAATAAACTGATGACTGATGCAAGTTCATTAGAATGACGAATGAATTCTTCAAGTAATGTCCGGTTTACAGACTGGAAGTAAGCCTAACAAATATCTGACCTGAGGTTTGAAGGTTGGTAGATTGACTGAAGGAAGATAATGGTACAGTTGACATGGTTGATCAGAAGGGAGGTTTCACGATGGTAGGTACAAGTAGGAAGGTGGGAAGGTTTTGCTGAAATGAGCAAAAATAATACACCAAAACTATCATGAGCAAAAATAATACACCATAGATATAGTAGCCCCATAAGGCCAAAAAAAAAAGTCTCCAGTTTCTGGTATGCGCGCGCGTCGCCGCAGCCATGCGTGTCGGCAAAATGAAAAAGTTTTTTTTTCAATACAAGATGATGTTTCATAACCGCCAAACTCACTGGTTTGACTGGAATTCTGCTGCTGCACAATTTTAACGTGTTTTTAGAAGGGGTTATGATCGAGAATAAGATTTATGTGTCCTCTCTGGACTCCCATATATTTGCACTAAGTTTAGTCGGGCACCATTTGCAGTCATCAGCCGACATTTGAAGCAAAAAAAAAAAAAAAAACCAAGTAAAAAAAAAAAAAAAGCCGCGTCGCCGCACCACTTTTGGGGCAAGCTCCATACCAGAAACCGGAGACTTTTTTTTTTGGGCCTAAATGCGGCCAATTTACTGGACTACATGTAAAGTACATGTACATCCGTTAATAAAGGCCACACGTGTACTCGAAAATGTAGAACTTTGTCAAGATTTTAGTTTCACATTTAGAATTTGTTTGTAGTTTATTAATGCTTTAGAAGCGCACTCACCCTCTTTATAAAGTGATAGAAACTTAGTCCCCCCTTTTTCAGACGTCTATTTTTCATGTAATTTCCTAACTTGTGCAAAATGAACCTGGAAATTACACAAAATATATAATGTAGACGTCTGAAAAAGGGGGGACTAATTTTCTATCACTTTAAAAGAGGGTGAGTGTGCTTCTATAGTCCAGTAAGTGGCCACATTTATGGGGCTATGATTGTACACGTGCCAACTCCAAGACTTGTCAGTGTGGCCTTTATGTACGTGTACGTACGGAGGTACAATCACAATGTATGCCTAGTCCAGTAAAGTGCCACAGAGATAGTAGATATTTAGCCGGCGATTTTAACGCGTATATGAATAGGCTAGGCCTTCAATTTACAAAATAAAAAGTACTACGAGTAGGATCATTAACAATGCCAATGGGCCTAGTACCTAAATGAATAACTAACATTGATGGTCATGGTCTAGGCCTACACATCGATAATCGATTGTGCATGCCGCATCCGATTCCGAGTAGATAAAATTTGCAATTTCGGAAAGATTTCCATTTACGAAGTTCACTAACACCCTGTGTGCAAACCCTATGAGATTGGACTGAAACATTCTAAGTGTTTTCTAAGAAAATGCTTGTATTTTCTCACTGCTGAAATTGACTTTGATGACATGAAATTGCTATCTGGGGGGGCTTGTTAGTCAATGCAGAGGAAAATTAGTGAACTTCGCAATCGCATATGGTAATCTTGCCGCAATGTCTACTTACTACGCTGGGAGAATGATGATCTATAAACTCTGGACTATGAACATTGGACTATGAGATATATGTCACTAACTGGAAATAATTGTCATGAACTTACGGAGCTATGGGATGATTTTGAGGGACTAATAATAGCCGGATTTCGATCACTTTGCAGCAATGCAGTTAACTAACTCTAACTTTTACGGTAACGATGAATAGCGCCCTCAGCTGGCAACAACAACGCTACGGTGTCTCGGATTGGCCACTGCATTGGCTCATCCAGTTTAGGAATGGGTCATAGACATAGGGGTGGTCGTACACAGCACCAAAAACCTTTCAAGGACCATGCAGTGGAAATTCAGATAATCTTGTTGCAACAATACATACAAGATTTTAATACTTGTTTTCATTGGAAGTGACAAAGTGGTAGTTTTTCAATTAGAGGGCGCTGTTTTGCTTTTGTCACACAAGGTACTCCTTGTCAAAAGTGCTTTTTTGTGAACAGTGCAAAAATAAGTCCTTCAAAATTACCCCAAAAAAGTTTTGAAGAAATAGTGGCCACTGCTTCTGTCCAAACAAGCTGTTCAACATGAAGTAAAAAGTGGAACTTACTCCAGGAAAATGAAGAAAGTTTTGTATATATTTGTACACAAAGCTATGGAGACACTACTGTTCTGCCTTGAATCACGCTTTTGCTCATGAATATGGAAATTTTACATGATAATACAGTATTGTTTCACCTGAAAGTTATGTAAAGTTTACTTAATTGTCTTTTACCTAATAAATGTGTAAATATATTTACACATACATCAAGTAAACTTTTACACAATTGTCAAGAAAACTTTTACCCAACAACCTTTTACACAATTGCAAGCGAGTTCGTAAAGTACATATAAAACATGGTTAAATTTTACACAACTTGTGTAATTTTTTCTGAGAGTGTAACTGCTCTATGAGCTTAGATATGGCACACTTTTATGTGGTAATAGGCATTTTGGCGGCCAGTTTGGCGGCCATTTTGGATTTTCACAAAAAGCAAGGTTCCGCTGTTTTAGGTAAATACAGAAATGAAATCTTTGATCCTTCAAACCTAGTCATAGACACCAAAATCACTGTCCTTGCTGCTCTATGAGCTTAGATATGGCTACTTATATGTGAAAATATGCAGATTGGCGGCCATTTTGACGGCCATTTTGGATTTCGATACAAACCAAGGCTCCAGTGCTTTAGGTAAAGACAGACAAGAAATCTTTGACCCCTCAAACCTAGTCATAGACACCAAACTCGAGTGTCCTAACTGCTCTATGAGCTTAGATGTGGCCACTTATATATGTGGTACTAGCATTTTGCTGCCATTGGCCGCCATTTTGGCGGCCATTTTGGATTTTCACAAAAAGCAAGGTTCCGCTGTTTAAGGTAAAGTCAGATATGAAATCTTTGATCCCTCAAACCTAGTCATAGACACCAAAATCACTGTCCTACTGCTCTATGGGCTTAGATGTGGCTAGTTATATGTGGAAATATGCATTTTGGCGGCCATTTTGGCGGCCATTTTGGATTTTCATTTAAAGCAAGTTCCAGTGTTTTACTTTTACGTAAAGACAGAAATGAAATCATTGACCCCTCAAACCTAGTCATAGACACCAAAATCACTGTCCTAACTGCTCTACGAGCTATATGGCCACTGCTACAGCGCTGTCACATATTTTCCAACTCTAGGGGTGCATGCCTTGCCAAAAATTGCTATGAGCATTATTCCCCTAACTTGCATACCGGTGGCCAAAATTTTGGACCAAGGCTGCTATCTGTAAATACTGGTACTTCAACAGATTAAACCAGATCATTCAAGTCTAGACTAGAGGTTTTTTCAATGAATTAGCTTTATCTTGCCGAAATATGTTAATTTTGAATGAATCATTGTGCTCAGGGGGATGTAGTTTCTTGTTTAGTTCGGGCCTTTCTTTGTTTACCACGAATAGCTGTATGCATGCAATCTTGGCATTTTGGGGTTGAGTCTTAAAGATAAAAGTGGCAAAATTGAAGCGTGATAGGGCCTATAATAATGCCTAATGACATACAAGTAACAACTCCCTGTTAACGGTTAATGAAAACAAAACTAGTTGATGCATTAATGGGTAGGTTCACAACTTCAGAGACTAATTAAACAATACATTAGTGGTGTATTAGTCGCATTAAAATAATAGCCAGCATACGGGGCTATCCTTGGGACCGGGGATTAGAGGTTAAAACATTAAAAACTGCTAATCTAATGAACTGCAAAGGTAAAACGGACCAGATAAATTACATTTTGATGAACAATGAAACTGATTTGTTTTTCATGCTGAGTTTTAAATTGATGAATTTTTCTGACAAGGTCAGTGCGCCCGCTTGACACACACACACAAATTAACAGTAAAATGTGAACGTTTTTGTGCACAGAAATTATGCATTTGATCGGATTCAAACTGAGGTCAAACATACATTACGGATGTGTTTAGCTGAGATGTATTGGGGGCGCCATTGCAACCGTCTGTACTTTTAGAAGGTCAGGAGCAGCTAGCTCCGAGGGGGGGGGGGGGGATCGAGGTAATCTAACTGCAAAGTGCGATGTGAGTCACGCAAGATGAGGTGCTAGGTTTTACGGCATCATAATAGGGATTTTTTCCTTGCCTCTTTCTAAACGAAAATGCATTGCAGCATCTCTGTCAAGCTCCAATAAGCCTCTGTACTGATGACGTCACACTTGTTTACTTGTGCGTTTTTCTATGGGGCTAAGACCCCGTTCCCACTTGATCCACCAATTGGGGGATCTGATCCACCTTTTGCCAAATTGCCGGATCAGATCCCCCAATTGGTGGATCAGATCCGGCAATTGTGTGTAGTGGGAACGCTAACCGTTATAAGGTGGATCAGGATCAGATCCACCTTTTCTGATCCACCTCTGGACCAGGATACAGATCCCCCAATTGGTGGATCAGATCCGGCAATTGTAAGAAACCGTCGTCCCCAATAAGAAAGCACACGTGTAAACAAAGTGTGACGTCATCAGTACAGAGGCTTATACCGCCATACCGCTACCATGATTTGCGTCCCAATAATTTCATTGCACGAAATTGCCACAGTTAGCACAAAAGGGAGGCAATACACTGGACACGTGATCAATGTATACGCACGAGGCCCCGTATCTGACAGCTAGCTTACAATGCTTTTGCCTAGGTTGCTATGGCTGAGCAGCTTTTCAAGCTTTCACAAGTGAGATGTATAAGCGACCTCAATGTAAACCTCGTGTACGTCCTTCGCCAAATGCTCATTCGATTATCAATAATGGACTTACAACCCACTATATGTACTCAAGAGGCGATAAAGCGGGTAATCACCTAATAATCCCCTTGTAATCCGCTTATCTGGTTGATTGTGAACGTGTTATCTAATTTCAAGTGGTAATCTCGAGTACACTGCGCTTTCTTCAACACCTCATACACCTACCCCCAAAACCACATTTTGGTGCCCGTTATTGATTCTTGCTTTAAAATACTCATCCATATAGCAAGGATTGTTGATTTTTTTTTCCTTCATGAACAATTTTGTTTAGTCTACTAAGGGTCTTTGTTAATACATCGAAGAGTTACGATCAAAAAGAAGCAATGTCATACCTCATCCCAATTTCCTCGTCCCAACCAGGGGTGAACTTCCCCGCCCCCGATTGAGCGGGAGGGGTGGTAATGTTCTCCTCAAGGCCCTCATTTCGACTCCCTCGACCAAGGGATGGAGAATATTATTCTAATAACAGTCAGCTTTGCTACTTTTATGTTCCCTTCACAGAGGTTGTTATATCGAATCAGGGCTTCCAACTTTTCACTTTTAAGAAAACGAGACTTTTATTATGCGAATAAACAACACAGGCGGAGACAGGTAGGCCCTAAGCATTATAAAAGGTTGTTTACTTGCCATTTGATAGTGCTTTATAGCCTGTCCTGCTTTGCATTGTGTTGATCACTGTTGTGACGATACGAGACTACGAGTCGATAGGCCCATGCTTCAAAAATCGTCAAATCGATGAACATGCATCGATTTCGCATCAGATTGCTGTTGTTTTGCTGTCCGGCTGCGGGTCAGTCACACATTTTGACCGGAGACACAGGTTTTTCACCCCATGGGCACGTCGTCAGTGGTTACCTTTGGAATATCAACAACAACGGCGATTTCTTGTCAACATTGGGGGGGGGGGGGAACCAGGGACCAATAGCCTCAAGTGTGAAATTCGAAGGCGGACGGAAAGGGGAGGGGGAGGGGAGGCTGGACAGCCTCTGTTTATAGAAGGTTTTGTTCAAACAAATTGTATAACGTGTCTATAATTATGCGCATTTACGCCCATTATCCACAATTAGACAATTTCTGTAAAAAAGATGGCGCACAAGCAATGCGTGCACAAGCAATAACTGACAGCTGTAGCACCTTTTTGATACAATACAGTGCAAATCACTAATTGGATTTATATTTATTTATTTATTGAATTTCTTTACCCTGGGTATGCCCAAACATTCACAAACTGGTTTTCATTGGGGCCCTGTATACATTACAAATTATTCAATAATGCTAAGTAAAGTTAAAGTCACATGCCTAAGGAAAAGTACATTGGTGTTGCATACGACGAATATTAATATTTACAAATACGGTACGCATCTCAGAAATTGTACACATTTTAAACATTCAACAACAAGGCATTGAAACCTTTGTGCATGTCTCGAGGATATATATTTTTTTTAGGTTTGCAACTTGCGCCCACCGCCCATGAAATGTCCAGGCCAGAAAAGGGTGGAACACCTATAAAGAGGTTGAAAACGGAAATAAACTACAGGGGAAATATAATACGCATATAGGCTTTTTTCTAAAAATGTGCTATCCGCAAGTTTATAAATGGCGCCCTCTATAATAGGAGCCACACTCGACCACCTTGCAAGCAATGATGATGATTATCAGTGGTTAACGGATCAGTGTTATATGGATCCGGCCCTGAATTCAACTCTTCTGAACTTGAGAAGAAGTCCATTAAAATATTTGTCAAAAGAGCATTGAGTCATATTTTTTTTCTTCAGTTTTTCAATCATTAACAGTATGTCCTTCTTCATAAGTAAGTAGTACGTTATCCAACAGAATATTGCCATTAAAAAAAAATTAACGATACCCTTTTTGATTTCCTGAAATTAGGCCTATTTGGAACTGTGACCGGGGGCAAGAACTCTTTATGAAGGCCAGGCTAAACTGGAAGCAATATGCAAACATTTATTCACCAACAACAATAAACTGTGGCTTGATTCTGTCTGCCGTGTTTTTTTTTAATTCATCCATGCTAGCGACTAATTAGTGCGCTAATACGTTTACCAATTATCTCATTATCTAAAGTATAAGCCCGTGGTATAGTACGTACTAAACCCGAACAGTGACTGCCATTCACAGTTCGCCCCAATCAAATTGAGCAGCGCATAAATTGATCGTGTCCAGTACCACGTGCACTAGTCAGCAGTAGTAGTTGTAGCGCGCCAGCTGTATGCACACGTATTAGATACAGCCAGACAGATACACATGAACATCACGTACGATCCGAAGGCCAGATAAAATAACTGCTCGATCTGCCTCTTTTGGAATTGTATTTATGAAAACATGGAGGAAGGCAGTACCTGAATTCCACTGAAGGATGCATGCAGGTAAGACAGCATTTTATTACAATGAGAATGTGCTTCACTGGAGGGCTTGAGATGCAAAGGGACTTGGGACAGAAATTCGGTCCTGTTGCCGGTGTTGCCGTTGTGTAGCTTATGCTTGGCCAGCCGTCGCTGGGCAAATAAGATGCATGCTCCGTGTGTTCGAGTTGTACCATAGGTTCCGTCTGAGCAGGCGATGCTACTTTGCTAGTTAAACTTAATTTGACTGCATTTTTGTGTTTGAAGAAATCGTTTGTCAAGGGGAGAAAAGGAATTTTGAAATATGTTTTGTTCAAATTAGCTATAAAGAATGTTTCTTTGATGGCTCAGTGATCAGAGATAATGTAAATCGCTTTGATCTTAATTAAAAGCGCTATATAAGCATGATAAGAGCCCGTTATTATTATTTTTTACAATTATTATCATTAAACTTAATACAGAAAAAGTATATCCTGATTTAAGCTGATGGGTCCTTTTTTTTATTATTTTAAGTTTTATTGGACCTAGGCCCTATAGAATTTATTTTTAATTTGGAAAGAACTTGCAGCCTGACGCCACTTTTTCTTTATATAGGCCTACAGGTATCATTTCAATTAAGTCCTTGCAAAAATGTTGAAAATACATGAATCTGGATCTCAGAAACATTTCCGATGTTGTTAAGAAATACTTGGAAAATGTTCTTGTACGCAACTGCAGAAGTAGCGTCTGGATTCTACATTCTTTCCTTTTATTTAATTTTATACCCAATGAAAGCTGATTTCAGGCATGCAACTTTTCCTCGGTTCAGCTGATTTCCTCTTTTTTTACTTCCCATGTGTGCCATTGAAAATAGAAAAACACTGTACAAAGTCTGGGAAAAATTTGAATTTCCTCTTTTTTTGTGATTTCCCAGTTGCATGCCTGTGATTTGTTGTGAATTGAATTGTGATTGTTTGGTTTTCACAGACTGTTGTCCATTAACATAATGTGTGAATGACTAAGCTACATGTATTCATGATAAGTTGATCATTGTAAATGCCTGATAACTCCTATTGTTTGTTAACAGTTGTGAGAGTGAGGTACAAATACATGGATTGGAATGAATAACCAAGCTGGTATGAGTGCTGCGATGCAGCTGAATGCAAACACTACACCACCGGCCATGACTGATGCGCTCAAACTCTCAGAGCCTTTAGCGGCTGGCATGTGGACAGTCGCGCTGATAATCGTCTTCATCAACGTGCTGCTCATCATCATGGCCTGGCCAAGGAAGAAGGAAAACGGCGTCAATAGTTTCTACTTGTACTACCTGCTGCTGTGTAACCTCCTGACGGCAGTGTTTGTGCTGCTGCTGGCTTCTATCAACAACGGCATCAAGGAGAGCAAAGGTGCAGATGAGAAATACCGTTTGCTGTGCTCTCTCTGTGGCTATGTTGGGGTGGCAGCTTGCCTGCTGTCGCTATCGGCGATGCTCACCACAGCAACCAACCTCCTCCTTTGGCTCCTGTTTCCACGGTGCTTCAAGCAGGGCAAGAACTACCTGCCCAAGATGCGCGGCATAGCTCTCATAGAAGGCCTGATTATTTTGGTCGTCATTACCGTGCCGTTTCTCCCCTTTGATGCCTTTGAGGCTGGGCAGGCCCGCTCTCGCTACACATTATGTCTTCCCTTGCATCAAACCTGGCTGCCTATGTGGGAGCTCACCTTGGTGCTGTACATCGTGGAATCCCTTGGGGTCTTCACGCTCTTCCTTTTGTTCGCCGTTACGTTCTGCCACCTCAGCCGTCAGCGGAACGTGCTGGTGTCGGCCATTCCGATGGAAGCCCGAGTCCAGCGAAAAAATTCACTCCTTGTCAAGCGGCAGTGCTGCTTCATTCTGGGCACCGTATTGTTCTGGATCCCACCACTGCTGACCCTACTGTGCATGTTTGCAGGAGTTCAGGTGTCAGACTCTGTACTGCAGTGGATGTTTGGCGTGGTTCAGCCCTTCGGGAGCATCTTCGGACCCTTTCTCTATCTGCTGAGGGTTAGCTGTAAAAACTACACTTTCTCATCTTGCTTGAAAGGAACAAGGAGCAAAGGTGAGTGATAACGCTTCCATCGCAAAAGATGCAGCCTCAGAAATAGGATGGCATTTTATTGATATTTGTCCTCGTAATAAATCTTATAAAATAGATATGGCAGCAGTATAGATACTGATGTTTAAAAACATACTTTTAAAAAAATTGTGGTCAGAATTGTAGTAGGGCTGTCCAGAATAGACCAATAGTTGAATATTTGATTATTGACTAAATAATAGAATAGTTTTTTGACTGTTTGAATATTAAACAAACAAAAAAAATGTGCACATACACACACGACTGTGATGTTAATTTATCGTAATTTGTAAAGATGCGGCGCTTTATTGTCGGGCTCCACTTTTTGACACAAACTTTTTTGTCAGCGGCGGTTCATTGTTCACATCCAGCAGGTTAAAGCCCTTTTATGGTTAAAAAATACTTACTGCAAAACATCCCAGCGCTCCATATCGATCACACTCTTTGTGCAACTTTTTACCAGTGCTTTTGCAGTATGCAGCTGGCAGTTTTGAATATCCAAATATTCGGTCCAACACAGTTTCGAGTAATCAACTTCTAAATTATTCAAAAATGGACAGCCCTAATATTTGTTATATTAAATTAGAACATTTTGAAACTATCTCAATTGTGAAAACTTAAAAAAAAAAAAAAAACATATTTTTTGAACCGATATTCAAGTTTAATAATTTGTGTTGTGGTATCCCTGTGGAATTTTGGGGAAATCATTTGTTAATTACTCACAAAAGGAAAAACCAAATTGATTGATTAATATATTCTTTTGATATGCTCATTTAATAATTGTCATCCAGGAGAAGCTGACGGTAGGCATCACCTGTCATTCATACCAATTTATCGCTGTCGAACTTTCACTTCAGTGTTTGCTGTCTGTACATTTCTTAACCGAGTGGTGAAGTACGAAAGTACAAAGTGTGAACGCATGCATGATTGTGCATTATTGTGTGGTACCGTATGTACCATTCCCTTCCCCCACCACTGCAAGCAGTTAAACCCTACAAGACCCATTTCAATCCTTATCTGTAATTGTGTGATTGTGATATTAAAAGTCGTTCAAAATTTTGATGAAAGTGGCTAATTATTATAAGATTAGCAGACCTCCCCATTACAAATTTGATTGACTCATAATTGATAAGGCTAAGAGCCAAAACAGCTGCTACCTTTACAGGGTGAGTCAAAAAAAAGGGACGGAATTCCAAAAAAGAAGAAAAAAATATTATTAAAAAATGTGGCTCACTCCATTTCATAGAAATAACATATGGATGTTATTGTCTAGAAAATTTCACTTAAATTGCATACTCCATTCCCAAGTTACATGTCTATTTAAAAAAAAAAAAAAAGATAACACAATTCAGCTGTCCACCACTGATCATTTATTATTCTGCAAATTGATGAATACCCATTAAATACAATGAAACAGTGATGTTTTCCCACCTTCATGAATGAACCAAAAAATGCGGAAAAATAACAGACAAAAATCGCCAGAAATATTTCAGAAAAAAAAAAAAGAGTTCACTTAAATCTGACAGTTATTTACATAAAATCTCATTTGTACTTGAATGCCTGTGTGTAAGTTGTAATTCTCACTCCGTTCAAGAGCTTCCAACGACATTTCATGGACAGCATGGATCAATTTTAGGCCAAAAAAATAAAGTCTCCGGTTTCTGGTATGCACGCGCGTCGCCGTAGCCATGCGCGTCGGCAAAATGAAAAAGTTTTTTTTTCAATGAAAGATGATGTCTCAAAACCGCCAAACTCACTGGTTTGACTGGAATCCTGCTGCTGCACAATTTTAACGTGTTTTTAGATGGGGTTATGATCGAGAATAAGCTTTATGTGGCCTCTCTGGACTCCCATAATATTTGCACTAAGTTTAGTCGGGCACCATTTGTAGTCATCAGCCGACATTTGAAGCAAAAAAAGTCAGGTAAAAAAAAAAAAAAGCCGCGTCGCCGCACCACTTTTTGGACAAGCTCCATTCCAGAAACCGGAGACTTTTTTGGGGGGGCCTTAGTAATTCTTTTTTTTTTCAGATGAGTGAAAGAACATGCCCTTTTACATGTTTTAAGACATACTTCATTGGTGCATCAAAATTGATTGCTTTTTTAAGAAAACAAAACAGTTAATCCAGGTCAATTTCTTTTTTACTAGCCCTGTATAGCATCTTTGTCATTTCAGAATGGCCTTTTACAACCTAATCAGCCTTCTTTTAATTCTAATGACCCATTGTTTTTAACTTTTTAACTTTTTTTATGAGGGGGGTAGGAATTTTTTTTTTTTTGAACTAATGATTATGCCCTTGTGCTCTCATATTGCATCATGGTGATCACCATCTTTATTTTTTATATTGTGCTGTGGGTTACTTTGTCACAGTTTGGCAAAGGTTAAATTCTACCTTGAGTATTCTTACATGCTGAAGAGAATTATCAACCATGACACTTCCGTGATTTTATGTGTGCACTTGGCCGGCCATGCATTACGACAAGTTTTCCCCAGTGGCAAGTGAATTTTCCAAAAAGGAACTTGTTTACCGTCAGTCAGGGAGCAAACAGAATGATAATTCGTTCCAACCCTGGAAAACTGAAATGGATGAAGTTGTTGACAAGATTTCCTGATAGAGAGTCAGTGCTTAGAGTTTCGTCTCCATGCCCAGGCCCCCACCCCCATAATGTCGCCCCCTCCCGTAATCAGTTGATCAGTGGTTGAGTGTTGTGTGAGAACCCAGGATAAATATTCTCAATTCAGATTCAAATGTGGAGATTGCTGCCTTGCTCTGTATTCAGGTCTTGTGACTTGGGAGATACCTGTACATGTGAAGCTTCTAATTCTTACAATTAACTCTGACATTACTTATAAGAGGGGTTTACTGTCGCTAAGATAATCTTTGACAAACTTGCTTGTTTCTTCAAATTTTCAGAGGCAAATGCGGGAAAAAAGTAGATTTTCAAATAAAATCAAGAAAAAAATCCCTGTTATCATCAGATCGGGTCTTATATCAAAACGAAGGGGTTGAAAATAGCTTTTAAATAGATTTATAAATTGGAGCTTTTTTCCAAACATTCATGGAGAGTTTATTAATTAGTTAATTAGAAATTGATTGTTATAGCCCAGAACTCCAACAAGTTAATTTTTTTATCATCACGCAGTAATTGAAGTTTTACTTTCAACAATGTACTATTCCCAGTTTGTTAAAAGTTCCATATTTTGAAATGGGACGGTGTGGAAGTAGGCCTATTGGTGCCCATAATTTTTTTAATTCCACAGAAATTTGTGTCTGATGTTGTGATGTGAACATGCATGCATTTTGCATTCACTTCCAAGCGTGTTGATGTGCATATATATGTGTAATTGAATGTAGTTTTTTCCCTACTCAGTGGAAATATGATAATGCAGTAGGGCCTACTTACCGGAATGTATTCCATATCAAGTTTATCACTTTATCTGTATAATCATACCAGTACATTGTATCTTCCTCTAGCCTTCACATCCACACCCAAGGCTTTGCATCTTGCATTACAATTATAATATTTGTTTTACATTTGAAATAACACAAGTGAGAGGATGTGACATTCAATTTCAGCAGGAATTTGAGTAAACTAAGCTTGTTTAAAAACACTCTGCATACCTGTGTGTAGAGGTGGAAATGCCCAAACTAAAACAACTGTATAACTCCCCAGGCATTTTTGCTGGGATGCAACCTCCATCTTGCAAAATCCTCCAACTGCCTCCTTGTTAAAACTGCATTCAGCCTCAGTCCTCCAAAATCATCCCTTATTTCTTGAATCTGGTCCTTGGAGGGGTGACCACTGCCTCAATCCTGCAAAATCCTCCAGCAATCACTGTCCATATGAGGCAGAGCCAGTGACATCCTGGAGCAGTGCGGAGGATTTCAAGTATAATCTAGGCCTAAATTTATGAACGACTGAGCATAAACAACACAAAGTCCGGCCTAAGACCTTGACACAGTGCATCCTCCAAACTCAGCCTTACAATTTTGCCACATAGCCTCAATCCTGCAAGATCCTCCATTTGGCAAAGCGGATTTAGGAAGATTTGGGAAGATTAGGGTTGAAAGGCCTTACATTTACCTGCAGTATATAATTATGTCAACCCATATTCTTTGAGTTTCTGATGAGTGGTTGAAATGCATGTTGATGAAATGTATCAAATACGCCAAGTCCGGGGGCGAAATTACGGTTAGGCATCCAAAATTTTCCAAACCATTTAACAATATTTGTCAGAACAAAAACAAGGTGCACGTATTTTACATCTATGTGCTTAGTTGAATAAATAGACCCTGTGCAGAGGGCATCACTTTGTTCCTCTGTGGCATGGATGAGTGGAGGCATTGTTCTTGCAATTTGTTTTATTTTTTTCATGTCACCATTTTGGGATATGTAATTTCACCCCCGGTATATATGTTACATGTAAATACTTTTTGATTAAATCTTTCCACACATTAAAACAATAATAAGTGAATATAAGACATGCATTTTTCTCCTCTAACAGTTGCCAAAACAAAAGACGCAGTGCAGTTGCGAATCGGTCAGTTGACTGGAGCCATAACCATGCCAGAGAAGATGGATGCATACAGGGTACCAAACGGCAACCACACTCCGTCCGTCGACAGTCTGCCAATGCCCCAACAAAAAAGTGGCAAACGTGTCAATGCGCCGTCAGTCGTGCATTGGGTGGAGACAGTCCCAATCATCGGGCGCCACATGAACATGGTAGGGGCATTGATAGTTTTTATGTAAATGTGTCGTGTTGAATTCTTAAAGCTATGTAGGTCTTGAAATACCCATTGGATACCTGGACTCAGTCAGGTGATTAGAAAACCAGTCTATTGAGTTCTGTTGCCAAACTATACCAATGTTCTTGTTGTTTTTCACAAAAAAGTAAAAACATTTTGTTTATTTAATTTGTTATTTTTAAAGACCCATTTGACCAAGACAAACACAAATTGATGAACTGCATGTAATGTCCATTTCCATTTCCCAGTTATCGTAAAAGTGAACAGGTATGTTTTCACAGTGAACGTTACTTTGAACTTGATAAATTAAATACCCTTTCCAATTCAAAGTAGATATTTACAATATTTTAACCTTGGTCTTGAATAAACTGCTGAGCAGAGCAGTTTGTCTAAGTAGTATACGTTAACCTGATTTTCATATAACATATAGCGTTTTATTATTGCAAGAAAAAAACCTTGCATTGGTTTCAAACCCTGATATTTTTTGGGTGAAATTGTTACTTTTTGTTCTAAAATAAACATCTTTTTGAAAGATAACAGTATTTATTATTTACTGTACTGCCGTGGCCTTCAACAGTTGGTGAATAGCGCACAACTCTGGATTTTTCATGGTTTTTAGTTAATTTGGTTCATTTGCCTCACCTCATTAATCAATTTATTGTATTATTTTATTTTCATTTGTTTATTTGATTTTATTATTTTTATTAATGATGATGGTTAAGGAACCCAGAAGGGAAACAGAATTTCCAGGCATTCCAATGATCAGCGAAGAGCTTATCAATCTGTAAAATCTGTAAATCTAAAAGGGGCTCATGGCGGTACACTTATTTTGGTGATGGGACGTGTTTCCCAATGATAAAACACGTGCAGTTCATGTTTTGCGCCTCAAAGGACTCTGCGCTTCTTATACCATTTTGGGTAAGTGATCAGGTATCAGTCCTAGCGTGCCCGCAAAACAGTTGCCGAGATTTCCTTTCAACTTCACATGACAGTTCCGTGTTGGGGAAAGCACTAGGTGTAGCTTTGGGCAAAATCGAGCGGGGGAAAGGAAGCTAAGACGAAAAAAATCTGAGAGAGATAGAGAGGGGAAAAAACGGCACATTTCCATTGATTGAGAGTCTGAAAGGAGTCAACTTAGTAAAGTGCTTGGCCGTTTGTTTGTCGATTGTTTGTTTGTTGAATATTTGTGCAAGCATTGAGTGTTTGGATTTGTGTAACAGTATATATGTACAATGTACGTCTAGTGGCTGCAGCATAAAATCAGTTTTGAGATAGGGATGTAAAATGCTTAGGTGCTGTTGATGGAATTTTAACACAAGAGAAATTTCCATGGTCTCAAAATCCAGTGGTTAAATATCTCAAGATTGTTTTTTTTTTTGGCCCGCTTTTCATTTTTTAAATAACAACTGGCACCAGGTCCTACCATGGAAAAAGAATAATAATCTTTTTATAAATTGTGTTCATACATTGTGAGTGTTTAGGTAAATATTCTATGACCTTCAGAATTCATGAAATTTTGCCTTTTATGTAGTATTCAAGAAAAAATGAAGAGCGAAATTATGTTGTTGAAGTTGACGGTCCGTACATGTGCATGTATTTAGCACATTCTGTACTATTCTCTTTTTTTTTGTAAAGCTATGCTTCATTGCACAAAATAATTAGTAACTTGGGACAAGTAAAGAAAAACCCAGCCTTTTCATTGTGTACACTGTTCATTTTCTTTTACTGTATTAAAAGTTCTGTTGCATCTCCTGGCTTTTTTACCTCTTATGGTTTCCTTCATTTTGAGATGATGTTGAGAATGAAAACAAAATCATATTTTTTTTTGCTCCCTAAGTTGAAAACATAAATACATAGATAGAAGTACCTGTAAGAGAATGCAGTACTCATTTTGTTTCCTTTCCAGAATTTTGGAATAGTCGAGTGGCAATCTAAGAACGGTTCCCCGCGCCGGGGACTACTCAAGATCTTCACCAAGCCCCACTCGCGGGAGTGGCGCAACGAGTCTGGTATCCTGTACCGCCTGAGCCGGCTGGAGCACCACCGCAACATTGTGGAGTACCTGTGGCACTCCAAGAGTTCCCAGACCAAGCTGGACCGGGGCCAGACTGATCCAGCCCCGCCTGATCCAGAAAAGCCGAGCATTCAGAGGTAGGTTTAATGGAAAGAGTGTGTATTGTTCAGTTAGATCACCACTTGTGGTCAGATCACCACAGAGTGGTCAAAATCGACGGGGCTTATGACCCAATCCAGAATGGCGTCATGATAATTCGATTTAATTCAATTCAATTCAATTCTTTATTATCCATTAAAGGGAAGATACAACATTTGCAAACATCAAAATATGAAATGATCAAACTGTCACGAAATATCTTACTGGATTGTTAGGGAATGACAGTCTATTAAAAGCATCCTGTAAAGTTGTGGCTCCTGGTGTGCTGACAGTTTCAAGAAAAAACGTATTTTTCCAATGCTGGTCGGCTGACCAGCCTTTGAGAAAACTTTTTTTTCCTTCAAAAAGTGCTCCTAATTTTTCATATTTAGTTCGTCTGCATTTTCTTTGCAATTGATTACACACCTGTGAAGAGGTACAAGCCTGCTAGACTGATTCGCTGATCTTACAATTCCCCAAAGTCTATAAATTGCTCCATTTCATCTTACATGTAAGTGGGGTCACTCCCAGACTACAAGAATATGATTGGTTTTCTTGGTTTTTCCAGCATCTACGAACCAAGAAACATGAAACTAGTCAGTGTAACAATATTTGCTATAAATACTAATCTTCCAAATCCGTTTATTTCTGAAAATTACAGCAAAATCAAATGTTGTACATTCCCTTTAAAGTGAAAAAAATGTTGACAGTTCATAAATTATTAGTTGTTGACAATAAAAGTAAGAAAAATTTAAAAATACATTCACATAAATTTACCAATTTATGAGGCCAAATTTTATTCATATTTAATTTGAAAAACCAAAAGCAAAACATCCATAAAACACCTCCAGAAAAATGAACTCTTTTTTTTTCTTCCGATTTCTTGGAGATTTAGTGTACTGTGCTGTATTACACTTATATGTACACTAACATTTGTCATTCAAGATCGCTTAAAAATTTTTTATTTTTGTCCATTGACTCCCTTACAATGTTAGCAACCCTAGTTGCAGGCCGAGACTGACATTGTCCCTGGCATAAACGTTGCCAATAATAGAGTGTTCCGCTTGAGGACTTCCCCACTGGGACACAAAGGGGCCCTTGGAAGACCTGTTGTGAGCTATATTGTACAGGTTTCAGACACATTGGTTTCATGTTCAGACAGACGCTTATTTCTGAAATTTTATCTGCTGCGGAATTGATCAGCCAAACAGGCTGAATGGCTGCCTTTATAGTTCTTGGTCCACAGACCTCATACAGTAACCAGTTATGTTGCCCTTCAGTTTCTCAACACTGTATACAAAAGAGGTGCAGTTTATTAAAGGTACCGTATAGTCCATCATTTGTAATTTGTGCATTTTGTTCGTTTGAAGCAACAAAAGTGCTCAAAATTTAAAGAAGGGTGCTGAACAACTAACCTGATGAAGTTTCAGCTCAGCTTCAGCTGTATATTTCGAGAGAAACGACATTCTAGGATCTCGATTTCAAATCAAAAGTTGCTGAATCATGTTTTGAATTGGGCCTGAATTCAGCATCTGAGACACGTTTTCACTGAGCCGATTGCAGCTACGCGATGTCGCGCACCGATCCGACGAATTATAGCAACTGTGCGCGCATGAGCGTCGTGTCATTGGTGTCAACGCTTGTGTGCGCTTCACCGAATAAAAAACGAACTACTAACGGAAATTTCCAACAGTGCTTCTTAAGACGCACCGTTGAAATGCCTTCTTTCATTGATTTCTTCAAAATGACAGCTTGCCAGAAAGAATAACTTCACAGGGAGTTTAGTCCCCTTACTATCTTTCAACCAAGTATGTTTTTGAACAATAATTACGCCAGTTACTTTTGGGATAGCTGCAAATGATGGACTCTGGCTTTAAGAAAAACTCTCGCCCTAGAAAACACTAGGCCTGCTTCAGCCTCACAGTACAGATTTCTCATATCAGTCTCATGAAATTAGCTTTCAATGTGCCAAATGCCTATGCACGGACTGTATTTACTGCAAGTCTGATGCAGCACACTAATGCAATTCAGTGCCCAAGACTTTAAGAAGGAGAAAAAAAAGTCCGTCGGCTCACCGGAAATTGATGGAGAACTGATGTAGCAATTTATAAATCTAGATAGGGATGCCGGCTACACTAATGAGCCTGAGGCTGCACCGACGCCGCATCCAAATGATCCAGTCTCAATGGATCGTGTTGCCCATGACAACAACGTAGGAGTGTCTTTGAAAGGATTACAGCCGGAATATCATTGTAGGAGTGTGAGGTGTTGTTTACTCAGTTTTTGGGGGGTTTCGGTTATAAGACGGCAATTGAAAATAGTTTACAATCATTTTCCTAACATATTGTATCTGGTGACGCACAATATCAAATTTCAATATCATTGTAATTTACCGGTATAACGGTTTCGTTCTTGCTACTCAGGAAAGGAAAGATAAACAAATATATTCTCACTTTATTTTATAACCCTGTTGATTAACAGCAGCGTCTTGTTTTGATTCTATGCATGCACATGTAGCTCCTAACGATAAGTTGCCACTGGCTCATGCAACTACCTGATGTTTTTTTTGGTAAACTGATTAGGTGCATAATGATAATTTTGAAATTGACTGAAGCAGGGTTTGAATCTGATAGCTATGCTGGTGCTATACCAACTGAGCTATCCAGTTGTACATGTATGTTGGTGGTTCCCTAGTTTATCAATGTCCCTGTTCAAGGGGCACTAGTCAGAAGCCATAAACCTGTTGTGTTTGTTTGTTTGTTTTTTTTAACTTGTGAGATTTGATCACCACTTGCGCTGTTGAAAAAAAAAACAGTTTTTGTAAGGGACTTATATCTGTGATCTCACTGAAGGAGGCCTACTGGTTTACAATTTATCACCGCAGAATTCGGATTTATGTGGCCTATGGTTGATTTATCACTGGCGCTGATAAATTCACAGTAATCTCTGCCAACTTGTATGCAATATTGGTTGTAAGTTTTTCGCACGAAGGAGAAGCATAACAAAGCAGTGCTAAATTGAAATTCCCGGAACCAACACAGATGGTGCTTTGGCCTTGTGGATGATGTTTTTTCACAAGCAAAGTGTTATCAATGTCAATAGCTATTAACAATAGGAGTTATTGAACAATAGGGATGAACCTATGGTGAAACAAAAAGAGCAACAATGCTCTTTTATCCGCAAACAATGTGTCAGTCGCCTGGCAACCTTGGAATCTGATTACGAAGGCTGGGAACTTTCTTTTTAAAAAAAGCACGGGGCTATAAAAGGCATCTAATTCATTAAAACTGTTTGCTTTTGATGGATGATACGTGCATTAATGGCAATGAAAATGCCACGGGTCTGTTTGCTTTCAATCTTGAAATGCGAGGGTTCGGGCAAATAAAGTGTTAGGCCGGCTGGACAATCAATTGAATTAGTGGTGTGTGAAGCAGGATTGAGTAAGGATGCAGTTTGTACCTTGAATTGCATGTGGGTTTACTTATCCTTACAGACGCAAGTATGGGGTCTGAGCTGCTTTTTAAGTATTGATTGCATATGGGGGGGGGGGGAAGGCTGGTCGTTCTGGCAACACATTGATCTGGACACGTGATTTTGCGGATATCTGCTCAGAGATGTTAAATCAACAGTGGAGGCACAGTTCCTGTGCTCAAAGATGCGGGAAAAGAGAAGAAATGGAATGGAAGATTAAAAGTAGACATTAAATGCAGTGTCTGCTTGGGATAAATTTATATTAAAAAGTCCAGTGTTAAATTGAATGGGAGGGGATTTACTAGAAGACCCCCCCCCCCTCCCCCTTTTAAGAATGTCTAATAACAGCCATGTTAGCCTATATAAGGAAAATACTTTTCAGGAAAAAAATCAATCCGTTTTCATCCCAAGTTTGAGTAAAAATCATTTACATTAGTGGAACAATTAACTTCATCTGTTCACTGCAGTTGTGAGGTGGTTTGCTTAATAATAGCCAATTCAGACCAGTTTGATCATAAATACAAAACCTAACTCTTGTGAATATTGAACCCATTTCGAAGCATATGACAGCCGTGATGCAAAACTGCATTATGACTGATCAGCACAAGGGCAATTCCACACCAAAGTGGACATGACACCAAAATATTCAAATACATGTGACTTAAACAAATTTGGCATCAAATGAAAGCTAAAAGTCTATATTTTCAAGATTCGAAGTCCCAATTCTATTTTTTATACATTTCGGTACCAAAAAATAGGATTATGTAATAATCCTGTTTTAATCCTAAAAATGTGATTAATAGTGATATGAAAGTATTCTACCAATAGACACACAAAAATATGTACTAATGCCATCAGTTTCTGTCACGAGAAAGCATTGGTCTTGAAAAACCGACTGAAACTTGTTTTTAACATTTTGCGTAATTTGTTTCGCTTCAGTGACTTCTAATATTTCAGCCTTCGAAAATGTCCTTCCGTTACCGAAAAAATACATATTTTTAATTTATTTTTAAAACTTGCAGTATGAATGCATTGAAAGTTTTTGTGCAAAGCAAGTTTAGGTGGGCCTTCAATATGACATTATAACTGACACTGCTGTACTTCTCGTTTTTTAATTACAATTAATTAAATCACGTCCTTCCGTTACCAAATTGGTAACGGAAGGACGGTAACGGAAGGACAAATCGTATTTTTATCAAATGTTACAACATTTGCGCTCATGTTTGAAAAATGAAAATCACTGCAAATACATGCATGTATAATGAGCATTGAAAGGACATTCATGTGACCCACCTTCACAAAAGCGGGATAAGCAGGGCAAGGTGTTTATTACAAAGGAAGGCACAGGCATGTACAACATGTACAATGTACTTGTACATATATGCCGATGTACCAGTACTTGTACATGTATGGAGTTGTTGCAGAAAATCAAATCATAAAGTTGCTGCCATCAGCATTCATGGACAACAGAGAAAGATACGAATTCTGTGAAGCCATTCCAGGAGAAAATTATGTCAAAAATGAGATGGCAGAAAGTAGGCCTACCGGTACTTTGGGGCACTTTCATTCAATTTACATGTGTAAGACATATGTGAGGTGCAATCTTTGACAAATTATGCCCAAGTTAACAATTTCAGTTTGGATGTTTATAAATTAATTGTTACTACTCTAAATCATTATAATTTGATTTCAAACATTGATTTTAGAGTTCAATTAAAAGCAACACCTAACTGAAGTCATCAGTTCTACCGGTAGATGTTTTTACCTTAAATGTACATGTAGGCTGGTCGCCCCCCCCCCCCCCCCCCCCCCTTTAGGTAAACCTTTGAACCTACCGGTATTATTATTAAAAGTTGTTGGTGAACATGTAACCAATATACTCAAGAGTTCAAATACTGTGTATTTAAACTTTTAAGGATTGAGGTGATGGGTTTGAAGTCTATTTCTGTAGTAGTCCTGTGTTCGTGAATTATGTGTTTTGGGTTGTTTTCGTTTCTCTTTTGTTATCATTAATTAGCAGGCTTCTATCTTTATCTCAATAGTTTCTTGGGTATAATTATTTATGCCAGGTCTGCATATTGTTGATTTCACATTTCAGCAATTTGTTTCACTTGTATAATTAGTGTAAATTCACATTTTGTTCATGCTATAATTGAGTAAACCTTTTGTCCTTCCGTTACCGTCCTTCCGTTACCAACTTATAATCTGCTTAAAACGTTGTAATTATATCACCGAAACACTGAAAGTCAAATGAAAGACGGTATAGTATAGATAAAGCTTCAGGGATTCCATTTCCTACCTTTAAAATATAATTGCCCCATAAAATTCACAGAGTTTACGCAAAACGCGAGTAAGTTGGAAAACCCTTGTCCGTTTTACTGTCCTTCCGTTACCGACCTCATTAATATTCATAATTCATAAACAGGAGGCATTCATGCCCCCCAAAATTGTGGAAAATGAAAGTAGCATTATAGCAATACAATTGTGACATTTGTTTGCTGTATCTATGAACAGTGTCTGTGATACACACATTTGAAATTTTGTTTAATGAGTGAAAACGTCCTTCCGTTACCGTGGAATTGCCCACAAGTTACAGGTGAAGTTGAAGTTGAAGCATGCAGGTTATTACTGTCAGGCATGATCATGTCGATCATTCCAGTTTGGGGCACCTCAGGGGTTTTCTAAATTGCAATAACATGTAGTAGTCCATGTACAAACCTGTACACGTACATTGTACAACAGGACTGTATTAGTTTCACAAGGTGGTTTATAGGCAACTTGTTTCATATCAGGCAATTTCTCCAAGAAGGAAACAACAGGTGTACTTAATTTTTTTCTGGAAAACAATTTGGGAATCTTCCAATTTTCCTTGAACTGTTGGAGGACTATACATGCACTTTGGTCTTCCTAGGATTTCAGTTAGCTTACAGTGCAATTGGTTGTCTCAGGTTGCCTGTAAATGGCCTCATATGACTTGACCCCTTGACAAGCACTGATCTATATTCCAGCATGCATACCAGTACATGTTTTTCCAGTTATCTCAAAACTTTCACTGTAGAAAGGAAAACTTCATTTAAAAGCATTACGTTGTGGTGAAATACAGAACGGTTTAAGGCAGGATTTTGCAGACTTTTGTCAGAAATCAGACTATTTGAATCTGAGAGAAAGACATTAGTACAGAAGGATATGCATTTTTCAGACATTTTGTAAATGTTTCAGACTTTCTTTTCAATTGACAATCTCATTCCTGGTTTGTACTTGGCGTAGAAATTAAGGCAAGTGCATATATATTCGACACTGAATGTTTTCAAAGGTTGACCACAGTTCAACCATGGAGGAATAAGAACACATGGTTCAACCCAGACAAATTTTGTGGTGAACTGGCTTTTACATTGTCATCCCAGGCTGTGTCTCTTTTGTTCTTGAGACAGGTTTGTGTTCATTTTATTGCCACTTTGCCATACATGTCTCATATTATTCATTCTGTCAATGATTTGTTTTACTGTCTCATTTTTGAAAACCAAAATTTCACCAAAGCCTGTTGAATCTATGTGAGAGGAGTAATGCCTTGTTGTAAAAACCTCCAAACCTTTTGGTTTCCTGAAAAAGACCAATAACCGTTACTGCCTTTTTCATCCTCACAAAATATCCCAAATAATCTGCCCACTCGTTCAATCAGTCATTCAGGTTGTCCATCAATCACTCAAGTTATTAGTTCAATCAATTCAATTTATTTCATTGTTTTTCTTTGTCTTTTTTGTTTATATAAGTTTAAGTAATTTGAGTCCAAACCCACCTGACCAATTATCATTGAATTAGTCAAATACTGAATCAATTATTTGACCAATCTATCAATCAATCAACCAGTTAATCAAATCAATCAGTCAGTAAATCAGCGGCTGATTTTACCAATTACTCAATCCATCAGTAAGCAAATTTATGATTGAATCCATCGTATACCAGTTAGTCACCTGCTAACGCTTAGTGATTTATAACAACAGTGCATACCTGTGTCAGACCAGGGGAAAGTTACTTGTCTCTGCAAACCAGAAACCCTACAAAAATATGGGAAGTACTGACAGACAACTGCTAGACACCTTGGCAACCACCTCGGCTTTGACCCTGTGACCCCTACCTCTCCGTGGACTCTGCTGCAAGACACTGACAGTGTTTTTCTTTTCCCCCGTTTCGCCTTGACATCCACGCCATTAAATTTTGATTGTCAGGCCTTACCTGGTGTGATGGAGAAAAGGTGTAAATCTGAACAGCCACAGGGAATGAAATATTCATCTAGTTGTCTTCAAGGCAAATCCCGCTAGCAGTTAAACTGGGTTGACAAATTGTGCGTAGCTAAATACGGATTTATTAGTATAGTCCAAATTAAATGATAAATCATGGTCATTAATAAATTTTTTAATTCTTTTTTGTTTTACCTGCGTAATAGTTTCCATTTGCCATTAAGATAAAACGTTCAATAATACTTGAAATCGGTTTTCCTGATTTCCATACGTGTACATTGGATACTATTTTCATAATAGTGTTGTTAAAAAATATGAAAAAATCTTTCATTGATAACAAATGATAGGCTCGATCATCAAAGTATTGAAATAATTATATTCTCACAGTTTGTCTTATATAGTGTTGAAGTACATGTACTAACTGAAAGTTTATGTGCAGTGCAGCAGTTTAAGACTGAACATTTTGGTTTTCAAAGTTTTTGAAAATTCCAAGGAAAGGTTTTTCTGGTTGTGTTTTTTTTTGGGGGGGGGGGGGATTAAATATTTGGTTTGTTTTACTATTGTGATTTTGAATTTTACCAAGGTTAAATTACATCGATGTAGGGCATATCTCAACAACATTTTTGTGACAATGTTTTTGTGTGTATGTTCATATGGAGACGTCTGCGTGTAGTCAAGGGTAAAAGGTAGTAGTTGATGGTTTTGGGTGGTTTTTTTTCTTCTCATTTTTCCCCCAAAAAAATTTAGGTAGGGGCTGTCAGAATAGGGTACCGGTACATGTAGGTAGGGAAACCGGAAGCAGAATCATTTTTGGGGGGGTGGGAGGGGGGCCTTACCCTCTTTCTCTGCATAAGGAGCAGCAATAGGGCCTTTTACACTATCCAAAATCTAAATGTTGGACCCGGGTCTAACACAAGAGTTTTCAGAAACACCTTTCACAGTAGCACAAATCCCACATGGCTTCTAAATGGGTCCGGTGCTCTACATGGGCTTAATCCAACTCTGGTCAAGGGGTTGAGAGGCTCTGTCTGGGTAGAAGATCCAAAAGCTACAGCTGACCCGTATACTTACCCAGTTAAGTGTGAACGGTAGGCCTTGCTTACCTTGTGTTTGAAGGGACCCGGTTCCACTCTATTTTAACATGAATAGGAGAGACAGTGATGAAAAAAAGCTTATTGATTGCGCGCAAATGATGTCTTACGTGTATAAACTGAATTTTTTTTTGTCTTTCCAGGTTCATCTGCACAGCCTATTACCAGCACGGCACCCTGCGTGATTTCTTACACAGTCACCCTCGTACCATCCAAGAGAGCCACGTCCACGCCATCGCTACGCAGGTCTCGGCCGGTATGGCTTACCTCCACGCCATGAGCATTGTCCACGGTCTGATGGAGACCACCAGCGTTCTGATCGGCGGACGTATTGAGGTAGGTCCATCGTCAGTTGATGTAGAAGGATCCGTGAACCGTATTTAGCCCAAAACCACACAAAGGTGTGTGGACTTTTTAGTCAGATTTTAAGTTGAATTGTTTTTTTCTTTTTACTGGCCATAGTAGTTTTGGTTTAAATGATCAACTAAATCAGTGAGAATGAATCATAGGAACAGGATGAAAAGCCCTTATTTTGTGTGGACCTCTAAGGATTTGATTAACCAGGTATACTGAATGACCTGAGAAGTTTGGCACCATCCTGTGTTTCAGTACTGTCGTCAAATTATTTCAGACTTTGAAAATGTTGTAAGGGAAACATTTTTTTTCATCGCTTTTCTATTTTTCAATTACGTACACCATTGAGATGCTGATTCTTCTGGTCAGTTCATAAGTTACATGAATGCACAGCCAATTTCATGGACGGCAACCAATGAATTGTGACATTGACTGATTGTGACATTTACCAATACCCCAATGAATCAGCTTTGCTTCCGAATTCGGGTGAAGTATTGCCTCTTTCTCAATGTTTCAAAAGCAGGGAATAATTCAAAGTTAATTACTTGTTTTCTATAAAAAATATAAAAAATTAGTTTTAATGATCTGGCAAAAAACTTCCCTCTCAAAAAAATCCCTGATTAAAAAAAAGAGACAAGAAACATAATTCTTTGAACGACAATGGGCTCTGTGCACAAACAAAAGAGGGCGCTTATTAACGACCTCCGAGAGCCCCGTGGACGGGACACACCGTGTGCGCATACTGGTTTGCACGTGTATGGCACGGAGTACAACGCGTGAGCCTCTTCGCGCGAGCCTCTTCGCGCGAGCCTCTTCGCGCGAGCCTCTTCGCGCGAGCCTCTTCGCGCGAGCCTCTTCGCGCGAGCCTCTTCGCGCGAGCCTCTTCGCGCGAGCCTCTTCGCGCGAGCGTCTGTTGGCAGTGTGTGTAAATGTCACTCCAAGTGGTCTCCCCTAACGCTCTCTTCCTTACCGTTGAGGGAATACTTGTGCTCGGAGTCCTTACCGGTACTTTCAGACTCTAAATCAGCAGGTTCTCTTTGGGCTAGAGTCCTCTGCTGATGTACTTCAGATAAGGAGTAGTATTACGGATGACATGTGAAACCTCTCAGCTTTGCTAATTTATAAATTTGATATGCACCGATTAAATGCTGACATCGGCGTGCATTGTCAAAATTGAAAGGAATCTTGTAGGCTAGAAGCATCGTGACAATGCTTTAAAATGGCTTTGAAAAGGCATCACTTTGTGCATGTATGTGTGTGTTGTTCCTCGTCCCTCTGCGTTTCTTAATCTGAAAGTCAGCGCCTTAGCTGCTTGCTGGCTGCTGGCTAAATGCATTATTCATTGTTTGCGTCGCCGAGGTTGTTTTCCCTTGTCGTGAAGCGCCGTCGAATGAGCTAAAATAGGAAAGGCGAATGGATCCCTTGTGCATTGCTGAGTCTGTTTATCAACTCGAGGGGAAGAAACACGCTATCTACGCACACGTTAGTGCATTATTGATGTATATATTATGCATGTGATGCACTTTTACTTTCCAAGGATTGGGAAAGGATTCATTGTGTGGGCGTTTCGGCTCAAAACAAGTAAAGCCGGCATATCTATTCTCCGCTGCAAATTTTTATAATTGCATTTTCTCCCTGCCCGCGAATGATTAAAAAAAATCAAGACACTCAAGCACTCCTTTTGGCTCCAAAAATGTTGTTTTCAGTGTTTATCATCTTTGATTATTGAAAACCAATCTTTCTGTTGGAATTAGATGTGGATACCTGTGCTTGGTACTTATTTAATCTATACTTATCGTAGGCTGATACGTACTCTATTGTTTCGTTGTGATGTCCGACTTGAAAGTTTATGACTTTGGTCAAATTAGCAATTGGAATATTAAGTTATTGTGGTGCCACATCTCGCAAGCACCTTCAAAGGAAAAGTAGTTTTTAATCCTGGTTTAAATTTGAATCCAATCTTTCTTGGCAGCTTGGGGAAAAAAACTTGCACTATCTCCTTTTTAGTGTTCATTAGTGGTCAGTAGTGATAAGCCAACATTCTTTGGATATCAGCAAAGCTTACTCTTTCCTTAAGCCATCTTTTGTAGTTACATATAGTTTTTCTTTTAATTTAAGAAAAAGTATAACTACCTGTATATTCTTGGCCAGTACATGGAGCGTTTTGAGCTGTACAAATAGGAATCAAATAGGAAGGAATCTTGTCCAGCAGAATTTAGCCTTCCATTTTTTGAATTACATTTACACCAGGATTGCAAACTCTAAGCATCTTTTAATTTGTTTAGCCTTTTTTGTGAAGCTTTCGTACCATAACATTTACATGCAGTGACCCACCCCAAAGTTATTGTTTTGCTTACTCTTTAGGGCATAATTGGGGAAGGGATAAGATCATTTATGGGGGATAAAATCATATTTCAGGGGTAATCGGAATCATGTATTTGGTTTCAGTTAGGACTGGACTGTCTGAAATGCATACATCCAAAATAACCAGCACTCTTAAGCAATTACAGTATGTCAACCAAACACTCTGATATGAAAGCACTGAAATTAATTACAATTGAAGGAATTAATTCAAGATGGAGTCGGTGGTGCCCTGGGGGAAGGGAGGGGAGGAGAGTAGGGGATGTGGGGGGGGCAGATAGAAACAAGGCCTGCTTAGCCACAGAAAGAATAACCTTCTGGATGAGATCACACAAGCCTGACAGACTGTCAAATCTCGTTGTGGCCCCAATGTCCCAACTTCTCACACGTTGAGATTGAATTGTGGTCTCGGGTGAAATTGGACGGACGTAATCTTCTCGTCAGCGTGGCGAAAGAATCGCAGGGCGTAACTAGTCACTCCTTGTGAGTCAGAAATGGGAGGGTAGGAATAAAACCCAATTAGGCTCAGGTGTAGGAGCAGCGTCCCTCTGTCGGGGGCTTGGGTGTAGGCATGAAATAAATTGGGATTATCTGTCCAGGACAAAGAAAGATTTACAAATAGAAATTCACCAAGTGTTTTTTCTCTAACTTTTTTGATGCGATTTTTACTGTCCTCTTAATTGCCAAATGGCTAAATGCATGTATTTAAGCGGCACATTTTCTCTCAAAGATTTCAAAACAAAATAATCATGCCAAAAATTCATGCAGTTTTTTTTAATGTAAATGATTAATTAATTCGAAATCATGCATATTTGAAACAATAAAAATGTGTGCCCTGATAATCTGGGATATTTTTAGCCTTGCCCAAACCAGAACTTCGCATGTGTTGACAGCAACTCTTGTGCCCAGAATTATTCATGATTTCAGTCCCCTCTTTGAGAGCAGCAGACTAGTGTTATGAAATGGCCCGACACCCTTTGCGCTGTAAGTGTCTCATCAGGAATGACCTTGAGGCCGGTTTGCTCAGCTGCATCCCTCATCACTTGCTCTCGCTCTCTCCTCTGCAAAAAAATGCTCGACCATGCCAGGGTATATAAACCTAGGAATGCATAATGAATCCTGATGTTAAACCAGTTCCTGGATTTTGCACGTATCCATTTCAGAATTTGTAAAGAATTTCAATAAATTTGTTTTTAAATATGCTGTTTAATTTTGGAATTGAAGAGTTGAAGAGTTAAAGGCTTTAAATGTTTCTGTCTTGGAAGTATAAAACAAGCAAATCGAGATGATATTCTAAATTGGGGCATTTAAAATTTTTATGAATTAATCGAGAGACCATGTTTTCAATTGAAGGTTCGGATTGTGTGACATCAGACAAACCGAACTATACAACTACATGTGTAAATATTTGTTTTCGGGTACACAAAATGGCCAGGCACCTTTCAGAATATGGTTTCCCTTTTTTGTTGTGCAAAATATCTCTGGAGGTTTCAGATGGATACAGAGCTAATAAAATACTGAAGAGGATAACACGGTTTCAGCAGGAGTAAGACTTGAAAAAAAATCCGTGCGAATAGTGCACACTCCCCTGACATTTTGTTTCGAATGGAAAGCTTCACTTCAGATGACGATAATAAAGCTGTCGTTTTGCAAGGTTGTCTTTTGCATGCCTCATCCCTAACATGCACTGAAACGAATAAGGATTGAAGGATTTGGACCCAGGCATGTCCGTATATTTTGTTTTAAATATAATTAACCCTCCTATGCAAACAAACGTGCACTCTTTGCGAAGTTCTCCATTCAGTCAAAATCAGTCAAGTGACTGTTTTTAACAGTTAAGAGCTCCCAGCTTACCGGTACATAAAACAGGATTGACTGGCTGTGACTGTTTATGTAACTTGACACAGCTATGCTTTGACTGTAAGACAGCTGTGCTTGCCTGCTTTTGTCTGTTGACTGAATTTGACTAGTCACTAGTGCTTGCTTGAAATATGATCTCATTGATCTGACTGTTGGTGACTAGCCTGTGTAAAAGGCATGGCAGGGGAAGAGGATTGATTTTTGACTGTCTCTGACTGTTCAGACAGCTGGAGGGTTAATGTGGATTCTCCAACAGTAGGCCATGCAGCCATCAATGGCAGGCACAGCACAAATAAATCATGCAGCATGGATCTAACTAAGGGCACAGTAATCAAGCAGATCATTATAGTTATAATAATTATTATTAAATATTATTTCCCCTTTTAATAAGTCATGAATTGTTACATACAAATGTAACATCCAATAAGAATCATCGGTAAATTACGTTGAACACTTGAATTGTACACCATGCATGTCTGTTGAAAAAAAATATGCATCATTGCACACGCAGTAAGTGTCAAATTTTGGCTCAGCAGCAGGATTTTCATGAAAGATTTTGAAACCCTGTGTCATAATTTGCAAAGAATTGAAAAGGTAGGGTGTTTCAGTTGAAAACAGGCACCAAAAACCCAGTAGACATCCTTCTAGCTTTAGACATGCTCAAACAAAGGCAGCAGGAGTGTTCAATGCTGTACAAATGTACACGTGTACAGGGGGTGCACATGCATAAAGTATATTCATACATACATTTTATGCACTGT